GTGGTGCCAGTCCGAGGGCAGGGACTCACCTGCGTCCCTGCGGGCCCCGGCGAGGGCACCGCGGGCAGGGTGGTGGCACGGCCGAGGTGACTGGGGACACACACGCAGCACCCTGGCGATGGTGAGGCCGCTCCCCACCCTGGCACAGGGCACAGCCTCTGCCCAGAGCATCCATCAGCGCTCGGAGCGTGCCCAGGGCTGCTCGGGCTCAGAGGCCTCGCTCCGCTCCCGGCAGATGAAAAGCAGCGCTCCGAGGGCAGGGCAGCGGCGGTGATGCCCAGCCGAGCCTCTCCTGCCGGGGCTGGGAATGGCTCCGGGCTCCTGCCCGTGAATTACCGCACCAGGAGCGCTCCCACTTCTCCCACCGCATTCCGCAGCCGTGAGTCAGCCCAGCTCGAAATATCACCGGGACCACAGAGGAGCAGGTGACCCAGATTCTGCCAGACCTTCCCCAATTTAATCTTGATATACACCCCCAGCTGCCGGCTGGGTCACCGCGTTTAAGCAGCGTGAAAAAACAAAGTCCAGCCTCTGACATCTCCTGAAAGCAAAGCTCCTGCCCGCCCAGCACTGGCTCTTGCCACACAAAATCACATTTGGCCAAGCCACTGACCCCTAAACTCTCATTAGAACTCATTTGATGGATCTCAGGATCCATCAGAACCTCAAACATAAACATCAATGATCAAATCTGGCCCCACTCAAGAAGCAAATCCCCAGCAGAGCAGCACAGCCCCATCCCACAGCCACACCACAGGAGACAAATCCTCTCCAGAACCTGCAGCCCCGGCTCTGGGGTTTATTTGGCGCCTCTGAGGGGTGGGATTTGGGTGGATTTGGGGACGCTGTGGGCAGGGAGACCTGAGCTGATGTGGAGCAGCTGGGAGGGAGCTGAGCCAGTGCCAGCCCCAGCTCTGTAGGGCAGGGCTGGGAGTGATCCCTGCTCAGCAAAAATCCCTGACTCCAGCTGGACCTGAGCTCCAATAAAGCCCTGCCAGAGTCAGCTGGATCATCCTCTGGCTCATGCAGCAACCACGAAATTACAGGTTCCTGTTCCAGGCCCTGGATGAGCAGGTGATTTCACAGGAGCTGAGACTCCCAAAGCTGAGCTGGATCTGCAGGTCCAGCAGATTTTTTGCATCATTCTCATCCCTCTTCCACCACCCACCTTCTGTGCTCTGTTTTTAACTCACACCTGAAGCCAAGTTGGTCTGAGAGGTGCTGACAGGAGATGCACCTGGCCCCTGCCACTGCTCCCTGCTGTCACCCTGATCACCCCAAAAGCTGCAGCCCCTCCTTTCCATGGACGTGGAGCCTCCTCCAGCCTCCCTTACAAACAAACCCGATCACCCAAAGAATTCTGACACCTTTTCCTGCTTTTTTAACATTTTCCTTTGGGCTGGCCGAGCCACAGCCACTTCTCTGCACACCAGCTCTTGTTCTAGACAGGTTACATGATTTAAAATATTTAATGGATCTCCAGGCTGCCTCACTGCCCTGCAGTTTGCAGGTTCTCTGCAGACAGAGCTGCAGGAATTGCAGACATGCAGGACACGATGGGCTGGCAGTGCTCCACAGGGAACCAGGGGACAGCAAAGGCAAATCCCTGCAGCTCCTGGGCAGGATGGGATCTGCCTGGGCTCAGGACCCTGCTCCTGCACACAGGACCCTGATTAAAGCCCTGCTCTCCCCTGAGCTGGCCAGGGACACTGCAGGCACTGCTCCCTGTCACCATCTCCCTTGCAATAATACATGAGCTTACAGGAAGCCTCTCAGCTGCAGCTTTTTATATCTGAACTCTTTCTGGCTGAGCAATCTCAACCTACTATTGATCCACATGACGCATTTGATTCCTATAATTGAGATTGGAATGGAAAAAAACACATTTCTGTTCCTCCCAGCGAGTTTGTTTCTCACGTGTGACAGCTCAGACCGTGCAGCACTCGAGTTTTGCTGTGATTAAAGTGAAGGAATCTTTTAAAAGTGGAAATCTGTGACTGCTCCAGCCCAAAATTCAGCGATGGTGGGAGCAAAATACCTGGGTGTTCTCTCCCCCGTCACCTTTCAAATGTCAAGCAGCTGCTGGAGCTGTTTTCTGGGTGTCATAGAATGGTTTGGGTGGGAAGGGACCTTAAAAACCATCCCATTCCCAGGCCTGGGTGGGCAGGGACACCTCCCACCGCCTCAGGGTGCTCCAGCCTGGCCTGGGGCACTGACAGGGATCCAGGGGCAAGGGATTTCTCCCTAAGATTTCATCTAATCCCACTGTCTTTGAGCTTTCACCCGTTCCCCTTTGTCCTGTCAGGCAGGAATGTGGAAAGAATAAAATAGAAATAAATCCCTGTCCAGCTGAGAATCAAACAAGAATGTTCCTGATCTTTATTGTATTTGCAGGGTGCCCCAATGAAGGGAGGAATGGCTGATTTATTATTTTAAGATACTATATTATATTAAAGAACACTAAACTAAACTATACTAAAGAATACAGAAAGGATAATTACAGAAGGCTAAAAAGATAATAATGAAAACTTGTGACTCTTTCCAGAGCCCTGACACAGCTTGGCCCCAATTGGCCAAAGAGTGCAAACAACTCACATGAAACCAATGGAACAATCATCTGTGGGGAAACAATCTCCAAACACATTCCAAAGGAGCAAGACACATGAGAAGCAAATCAGCTAATTATTGTTTTCCTTTTTAAACACATTCCAAATGAGCACAACACAGGAGAAGCAAAACAGATAATTATTGTTTCCCTTTTTAAACACATTCCAAAGGAGCTAGACACAGGAGAAGCAAATCAGATAATTATTGTTTTCCTCTTTCTCTGAGGCTTCTCAGCTTCCCAGGAGAAAAATCCTGGGCAAAGGGATTTTTCCAGAAAATGTGAATGTGACAATCTCCCCTTGCTGCTTTCTCCTGGTCCAGGAGAATTTCCAGCAGCTGAAGGGGACAGAAATCCCCCAGTTCCCCCTGACTCAGAGGAGAAATCTCTGACTCAAGAGCAAGCCTGGAGCCCCTCCTGTCTGGGCAGCAAAGTGAGCTGACACTGATCCCTTTGGATCTCTCTGTAGTATTGCACTGATGGAGAAGGTGCTGTGTATTCTCTTGTTTATTTGCAAAAAAAGAAAGGTTTAAAAAAAACCTCTATTAAAATGCTGCACCTCTGGGAGCGCCTGTGAAAGGAGTGAGATGTGACTCCAGCAGGGAAGTGATCAGCCTGCAATAATTTAGATGTTCCTGTTGCTATGGATACTTTCTTTAAGTGAAGCATACCATTATAATTTAAATTTCCAGTAACTCACCAAAAAAAAAAAAAAAGCACATTAAAAGTAATAAAAAATGCCAGAGACGCAACTGTTTTATTCCTTGCTGTCAGTTTTCCTGGTGCTGTGACAGCCCTGGAGAAGTGAGAAAATTGGCACTTGGGAGCAGATTTCAGTCTTTACTCATTTACTGCATTAATTACACCTGGGCTTGGTGGCTGTAATCGAGGCAGGGGATGGGACACTGGGAGTGAGGGTGGGACACTGGGATGGGACACTGGGAACTGGGATGGGACACTGGGATGGGACACTGGGATGGGACACTGGGAGTGAGGGTAGGACACTGGGATGGGACACTGGGAAAGGGGATGGGGACACTGGGATTGACACTGGGAACTGGGATGGGACACTGGGAATGGGACACTTGGAGTGAGGGTGTGACCCTGGGATTGGGGATGTGACCCTGGGAGCAGGGCTGTCACACTGGGATGTCACCCCAGGATGTGCCACCTCTCAGCAGTGAATTCAGCAGTGAATTCCTCCTGCCCTCCCTTGCAGGAGAAGGGAAAGGATGCTGCAGGTTCCTTAGCTGGCAGCTAAAAGCAGGGAATGGATGCTGGGAGCTCCCAAAGTGGCGGCTATGAAAAGGTGACATCAGAGCTGAGGGCTCAGTGTGTTCCTCAGCAGGGCCATCAGTTCTGCATGAGGGCTCAGCACTGGGACAGCTCAGCCTGGAACAGGCAGATCCAGCTGCAAAATCAGCTTCTGGTTATTTCTGGTTATTCTGTTTATTTCTGTTAGCACCAGGGCAGGGGAGGTGGCTGTGCAGAACCCCAGAGGGAGCAGGTCAGTGTGTCAGTACCCCAGAGGGATTGATGAGATTGATGGGATTTATTTCACTCTCCAGGTGCTTCCCCCCAGGGTGGAGCACACAGGGCTCTGCTGGGCTCTCTTTAGCCACAATCAACTGCACAAACTCAGCTGAAGGAAAAGAGAAAAGCACTTTGTGACTCAGGGACTGCCACGGAGGAGATCTGGGGGTTGATGTTGCTCCTCATGTGCAGGTGAGCCTGAGGCTTCCACCTCCCTTCCTCACAGCCTCACCTGGAGGCCAAAGCAGCCACACAGGGACAGGCCCTGTGTCCCTCTGTGCCACCTCTGTGTCCCCGTGTGTCACCTCCAGCCCTGGGAGCAGAGTCCAGCTGAGCCCCCCTGGAATCAGCCCCAGGACCTTTCTGATCCCATCCTGCCATGCACCAGGGCCAGGCAGAACCCAGAGACACAAAAGCTGCCACAGGAACCACAGGGGAGATAAATAAAGGCACCCAGCACAGAGCCTCCAAAAAATGGCAGTTTTTATTCCCCTCAGTGCAGAATATTCTTTACAGCATCAGGTTTTCTTAAAAAACAAACAAAACAAACAAAACACTCTGGACACACATAGATAGTGTTGTGAACATCAGGATCTGCTGCTCTGGGAAAGGACAAGGCAATCCTCACCCTCCATCCTGGGTTCCTGGGAGAGCAGGATGAGTTCCTCACACATCCCAGGTTCCTGGGGAGAGCAGGATGTGCTCCTCACACATGCCAGGAGAGCAGGATGTGCTCCTCACACATGCCAGGAGAGCAGGATGAGCTCCTCACACATCCCAGGCTCCAGAGGAGAGCAGGATGTGCTCCTCACACATGCCAGGAGAGCAGGATGTGCTCCTCACACATGCCAGGAGAGCAGGATGAGCTCCTCACACATCCCAGGCTCCAGAGGAGAGCAGGATGTGCTCCTCACACATCCCAGGAGAGCAGGATGAGCTCCTCACCCTCCATCCCGGGTTCCTGGGGAGAGCAGCTCTCCCTGGGGCCAGGGCACAGCCCTGCCAGGACATGGAACTGCACCCTGAACAACCCACAGAGCACAGGTTCCATCTGAGAGACCCCCAACACCTTCTCACGCTCACACCTGGGGGGAAAAACATCTCCAATCTAAGGCAGAGTCACTCAGCTGCTTCCTGCTGAACTCTTCCAGCTGACTGAGAGGGTTTTGCTTCCTTTCTGTGAGCAGTTCTGAGGGAGTTCTAAGGAGCTATCTGGGCAATGAATTAGTGCTTCAAACCCAAGTTACAAATCTATAAAACAGATTAGTACACTTCACATAAGGCCACAAACACTGTGAGGTGTCAGTGAGGCTACTGAGGATGGTTAAACCCAATCTTTAGTGAGCACAAGTTGTACCTCCATGGCTGATTTCAGTCCCAGGGGTAGATGGAGCTTCCTGAGCCCCCTGGGAGCTGTCAGGGAGAGGGGTGGGAGCACCACTGGGCACCAGGTATTGCTGCTGCCTGGCCCCATCCCATCCACTGGGCTGTGGGGCAGGAGCCAGCCCTGGCCAGGCAAACCTGCAGGAACGTGGATCTGAGCTCCTGCTGCTCCTCCCGAGCTGCCCTTCCCAGCAGAATTCAGCAGAACAAACCTTTCCTCCCTGCTGGTTTTGCTTTTAAAGCCAACTTTGGGACCTGGAGTCCCACCAGAGGTGATGAGGGTCAGCCTAGAGCAGAGCTGCAGCGCTGCCAGGGTGGCTCTTTTTGGGTGAAAAGCTTCTGAGGAGAGCTCCAGGCACTGCTCACCCTGACAATCCGCAGCACTGCTTTCAGTCCAAGCGTTAAAGTGCAAAACTTCTTTGAGTTACAAAAGTCTTTGGGTTAAAAAGGAGCTGGGACCCGCTGGGGCGATGCCCAGACACTGGCACAAAGCAGCAGCTCTGCTCCCTCTGTGGCTCCACGCTGTCAGCAGCTGCTGCAAATCCTGCCTGGCCAGGCAGTGCTGTGCTGTCCCAGGCTGGATCAGTGACACCCAGAGCTGTGTCTGCGCCCACAGAGGGGCTGTGGTGCTGCCTGCAGGAGGAGCAGCCCCTGCAGATGCTCTCCACACCTCCCAGGAGCGTTTGTAAACTGTGAATAAATCTGTCCAAGAGCATCCTGTGGTTTGGGTAAAAAAGCAAGGTACAAAAATCCACGTCAGGCTTCCGAAGCTTTGGTCTGAGCTGGGCTGCGGCACCCTGGGAGGGTTCCCTGCCCACAGCAGGACCCAGGAGGGGCTCAGAGAGGGTTTCTGTGCCCTCAGAACATGAAGAGATCGTCCTGCTCAGCTGGGCTGGGCTCCAGCTGGCTCCAGTGCAGGGGGGACAGAGCCTCTGCAGCCTCCTGAGCCGACAGCCCCGTGTCCAGCTCCTGGGGATTGGTCCTGGACTGCGCCAGCCTGGGGCACAGACACACAGGGAAACAGAGAAACACTGAGAAAAGTACACACAGAGAGATGCACAGAGCAAAATAACACAGAGTGATGTGCAGAGGAAAATAAATACAGAGTGATGCACAGAGGAAAATAAATACAGAGTAATACAGAGAGGAAAATAAATACAGAGTGATACAGAGAGTAATGCACAGAGCAAAATAAATATAGAGTAATACAGAGAATAATGCACAGAGCAAAATAAATATAGAGTAATACAGAGAATAATGCACAGAGAAAAACAGAGGAAAGCACAGAGTAAAATAAATACAGCCTGGAAAAGCCTCAGCAAGGGGGAGCAGACCCAGGAACTGCTTGGGGAATGAAATTCCCCATCACACACAGCCCCACTCCCTCCATCCTGAAAAGGCTGTCAAAATATTTGGCCTCTCATGCAGCCCTAAAGCCTCCCCTTCAATCACCAGCTGAGGCACCGGGGGCAGGTCAGATCAGAGCCTGGTGAGATTCAGGAGCATCGTTAACATTATTAACAAACAGCCATTATTAACCAACAGCCATTATTAACAAACAGCCATGGCCCTGGGGCTGCTCCCCTGCTGAACTCCAGGGAGGGCTGAGAGTTTGAGATTTACCTCGAGGGAGGGATGAGAGTTTGAGAATTACCTTGAGAACGCCTCGTCCAGGCCATCATCCATCTCCTTTGTGAAGGGATCAAAAGAGAGACAAGTAGTTGCTAAGAGAACTGCACAGAAGTGCATTTAGAGACCTGGCTCTGCACTCAGACAAAGAAATATCTGTCTGTTGGATCCTGAGTGCCTCAGCCACCTCCTCTGCAATCTGCCTCCTCTGCAGGGCAAAGGGGAACCCCGGGCTTTGGCCCTTCCTGCACCCCAAAGGGGCTGAGCCTGCCCCAGCTCCATCCAGGAGAGCAGCAGGGATGGGAATCACCCCCAAATCACCCCCAAAGGGGCTGATCCTGCCCCAGCTCCACCCAGAACAGCAGCAGGGATGGAAATCACCCCCAAATCACCCCCAAAGGGGCTGATCCTGCTCCAGCTCCATCCAGGAGAGCAGCAGGGATGGAAATCACCCCCAAAGGGGCTGATCCTGCTCCAGCTCCATCCAGGAGAGCAGCAGGGATGGAAATCACCCCCAAAGGGGCTGATCCTGCCCCAGCTCCACCCAGGAGAGCAGCAGGGATGGAAATCACCCCCAAATCATCCCCAAAGGGGCTGAGCCTGCCCCAGATCCATCCAGGAGAGCAGCAGGGATGGAAATCACCCCCAGATCACCCCCAAAGGGGCTGAGCCTGCCCCAGCTCCATCCAGGAGGGCAGCAGGGATGGAAATCACCCCCAAAGGGGCTGATCCTGCCCCAGCTCCATCCAGGAGAGCAGCAGGGATGGAAATCACCCCCAGATCACCCCCAAATCCCTCCCCTGACCCTCCCAGCCCTGCAGGTCCTGCTGCCAGGAGGGACCCGACACTCTGAGCTGTGGCCCCTCCCGGAGCAGCCCAGGCCCCCCAGAGCTCCCAGTTTGGCCCAGTTTGGCCCTGGGGCCCCCTGGCTGTCCCTTACCCACTCCAGGTTGTTGTTGACCGAGGGGCTGGGCCCAAAGCTGCTGTTGTCCAGCGCTGGGGGCTCGGTGCCACTGCCCAGGGGGGACCTGCCCGGCTCCTCCAGGTCCAGCAGGTTCCCCAGGGCTGCTGCTGAGGGCAGAGCAGGGGGAATGAGGGGAGAGGAGCAGAGCAACAGAGGCACAGCCAAACCCCCTGCAGGAGTCACCTCCCTGCACCAAACCCGGGCAGGATGGACCCAGGTCTGAGCTCTGAGGGGCTGCACCCACCCCACCGGGGTCACAGGCATCGTTTATGGAAAACCCTTTCCTCAGGATTGCTCCTCCTGAGAGGCCTCAGGAACAAATGTACCCAATGGTTATCTGCTGCTGTGGGATGCAACAGGGGCATCTGGGATTGGGCTCATGTGGATGTTTCTAATCAATGGCCAATCACAGCCCAGCTGGCTCGGACTCTCTGAGCCACAAGCTTTTGTTATTCATTCTTTCCTATTCTATTCTTAGCCAGCCTTCTGATGAAATCCTTTCTTCTATTCTTTCAGTATAGTTTTAATATAATATATATCATAAAATAATAAATCAAGCCTTGTGAAACATGGAGTCAGATCCTCATCTCTTCCCTCATCCTCAGACCCTGTGAACACGGTCACACTGGGGCTGTGGTTCAGCTCCTGAGGAGCTTTGGGAGGGCTCCTGGGTGCCCAGTGATGCTCAGGGTGAGCCCCAGGCCAGAGCAGCCCCTGGGCAGCATCCTCAGCTCAGCCCAGACCATCCCACAGAGCTGCACCAGGGTTTTATGGGCTGAGCCCTGCCCTGGGTGCAGCTCAGAGCCTGCCCTGGGCTGGGGCAGGAGCACCCAGCTCTGGGCTGCCCCAGGGAGGTGCTGAGCTCATCCCCACAGCCCTGGCAGCCCCAGGTGCCACCCTTGGCAGAGGACATTCTGCAGCCCTGGAATCCCTGCAACCACTGAGACCCCTGAGATCAACCACTGAAACCCCTGAAATAAATGAAATTCCTGAGATCAATCCCTGAAACCTGCAGCCCTCCCAGGCACGGGCAGGAGGTGCCAGCCTGGCAGGGACTTTAAGCCCAGCCCAGTTTAAGGCTGTTTTTTTCTCTGTGCCAAATCCTCTTATCTCGTGGCCAGCATGGGGAGGGATGAGCCTCCTGTCCCACTTCTGCCTGCCCTGCACTGGACTGGGAGGGGGACATCCCCATCCCTTGGGGACAATCCCCATGGCCCACAGGACATCCCCATCCCTCAGGGACACCCCTGTGCTGCTCAGGGACAGTCCCCATCCCTCAGGGACAATCCCATTCCCTGCTCAGGGACAGTCCCCATCCCTCAGGGACAATTCCCCATCCCCTGGGGATAATTTCCCACCTCTTGGGGACCACCTTGTGCTGCTCAGGGACAGTCCCCACCCAGCAGGGACATTCCTGCTCTGTTCAGGGACAGTCCTCATCCCTTGGGGACAATCCCATTCCCTGTTCAGGTACAATCCCCCCTCCTCAGGGACACCCTTGTGCTGTTCAGGGACACCCCCCACCCATCAGGGACATCCCTGCTCTGTTCAGGGACAGTCCCCATCCCTTGGGGACAATCCCATTCCCTGTTCAGGGACAGTCCCCATCCCTCAGGGACACCCCTGTGTTGTTCAGGGACACCCCCCACCCATCAGGGACACCCCTGTGCTGCTCAGGGACAGTTCCCATCCCTCAGGGACAATCCCATTCCCTGTTCAGGGACAATCCCCCACCCCCTGGGGACATTCCCCAGCCCAGGCTCTGCTCTGTGCCTCGCTCACCTGTGCCAGGGTGGGCAGGAGCTCCTGAGCCAGGGCTGCTCGTCCCTTCTGCTGCCAGGATGGACCTTTCCCTCTTCTCCTTCTCTGCACAACAGGAGGAGAGGCCATCACTGCCTGCAGGGAGCAGGGACAGCGGGGACAGCGGGGCCAGGGCCACCCTGCTGCTCCTGCCAGCCCAGGGAAGGGGACAGCACCAACCCCAGGGGCTCTGAGGCACCCAGGCCCTGCAGGGCAGGAGTGGCACTGGGACATTTTCACATTCCTGCCAGGATTTCTTCTCCTGGGAAGCCTCAGCTGCTCCACGTTTTGCTCCTCTGGAATGTGATCTGGAGAACTGTTCACCCAGCATGGGAATTGCTCTTAATTAATGGCCAACCCCAGACAGCTGGGTGTCTGTCATGGCATTTTATCATCATTCTTTTCCAGCCTTCTGATGTCTCCTTTCTCTTTCTTTAGCATAGTTTTAACACAGCATTTTCTTTTAATATAATATATATCACAAAATGATAAATCAGCCTTCTGAAACATGGAGTCAAATTCTCATCTCTTCCCTTGCTGGGGTTGCCTGCAAGTTCCACCCAGGAGCACAGCCCAGACCTGCCTGGGTTTACAGCAAGGAAAGCTGGAAATTGGGAGGCAGGGGAGGGAACAGCCTGGGCTGAGCAGGGCAGGGACACAAACTCCAACTCACCTTCCTTTGCTGCCTGCCAGAACTCAAAGGCCAGCCTGAAAGCCTGGGCCACGGTCAGGGTGACAGCCTGGGCCTGGGGACAGACAGCAGGACAGGCTGAGACCTCTGAGATCAATCACTGGAATTATTGAGATCTCGGAAATTACTGAAATCAATGAGATCAATCACTGAAGCCTCTGAAATCACTGAGATCAAACACTGAAATTACTGAGATCAATGGCATCACTGAGATCAAACACTGAAACCTCTGAGATCTCAGAAATTACTGAGATCAATGAGATCAATGAAATCACTGAGATCAATCACTGAAACCCCTGAAATAAATGAAATTACTGAAATCAATTACATCACTGAGATCAATCCCTGAGATCTCTGAAATCATTGAAAGCACTGGCAGCCCCCAGGGACATGGGGGGGACACAAACAGGGCACAGCACCCCCAAAACCGGGCAGGGGGGACAGGGGGACCCCCAAAACCAGGCAGGGGGGACAGGGGGACCCCCAGAGGCAGCAGTGCCAGTTAAGGAGGGCTCATTGGGACGTTGGAGTTATTTACATCCTTGATGGGAGTGCAAATGCTTTATGGCAAAAAAAACCCCTTAAATATGCTAATTAAGTATGAAACTCCTCACAGCTGTTTACAATTTAAGCTGTCACATCTGAATCAAGTTTAATAGGCCCAGCTACTGTTGAGAATTACCCAGGAACTAAAAATATGGGCTAATTACATGGCTGTGCCTGGGGGCTGTGGTGCAGCCAGAGCCCCTGCCCTGGCTCCAGGCTGGGAGCAGGGATCACCCCAGCAGCAGGATGTTCCTGCACCTTACAGAGCAGGAAAAAGGAAATTATTCCCAGGTTTTTTCGCCAAAAAAGGCTCTGGAGAAGTTTATTTGGAGGGGGATGCACTGAGCTGATGCAGCACTGAGATAATTCTTTTAGCAGCAGGAAGATTTAAATTTTAATTTGCAGAGCGAGGCTTATCTTGGCCGTGCCAGGATGGGAGCGCAGGAGGGACAACTTGTAGCTGCCATTATTGTCCCCAGGGGAAAGAAAGGAGCTGGGAGAGGCAGGGAATGTGAACAGAGCTCCAGGCACAGCAGGGAGGCTGCTGAGGATGGCCAGGAATGGCTGGGAATGGCACCAGAGGGGATCTGGGACACCCTGTCCCCATGCAGAGGCACCAGGGAGGGATGGCTGGGGGCAGAGGGGTCTGAGCTGCCCTTGCCCTGCCCTAAAGGCCCTCGGGTTTAGGGGAGGGGGCTCAGGGCTCCACCAGACACCCCAGGGCTCCCCTTGCCCCTCTCCTCCCTCGGGTCACCGGGTCCCTTCCCCTCCTGGAGCACTGAAACAGCAGGGAAAGGTCCAGGAGGGCTCCGAGCCCATCCCAGAGCCAGGCCTGGGCTCTGAGCCCCTCCCCAGCCCAGGTCAGGCTCTCCTGATGTCACAGACACATTTATGGAAAATCCTTTCCTTGGGATTGCTCCTCCTGAGAAGCTGAGAGGCCTCAGGAACAAATGTACCCAATGGTTATCTGTGCTGTGGAATGCAACAGGTGCATCTGGGATTGGGCTCATGGGGTTGTTTCTAATTAATGGCCAATCACAGCCCAGCTGGCTCAGACTGTCTCAGTCAGTCACAAACCTTTGTTATCATTCTTTCCTTTTCTATTCTTAGCCAGCCTTCTGATGAAATCCTTTCTTCTATTCTTTTAGTATAGTTTTAATATAATATATATCATAAAATAATAAATCAGCCTTGTGAAACATGGAGTCAGATCCTCCTCTCTTCCCTCATCCTCAGACCCCATGGACACGGTCACATCCTGAGGGCAGGACACGGCCCCAGCTGCAAAGATGTCCCTGAATGTGTGCAGGGAGCCCCAGCAGGGTCCCCTGGGCTCCCCCTGCCCCAATGCCCCTGCCCAGGGCCTCAGGGGCTGCAGCAGCACCGGGAGGTGCCCTCAGGGCAGGCTCAGCTCCTCACAGCCCCAGCCTGTCCCAGCTGGGATCAGCTCTGGGCAGTGCTGAGCCTTCCTCCCCGCCCTCCTCCTCCTCCTGCTGTCCCTGCCCTCACTGACCATCTTCCTCTTGGGGCACAGGAAGGCGTGGCACTCCAGGCTCTCGCTCTGCTGGCTCTGGGCGATGTAGGCAAACACTTTGTCATGGGCCTTGTCTGCTGTGCAGTACGAGATCCTGGAACACACCAACAGCCCGGGATGGGCGCTGGGGCAGCCTCCAGAGCCCCCTGGGGCTGCCACGGGAGCTGCCCAGCACGGGGTGGGCAGGGGGAGAGGCCAGGGTGGGGGCGTGGGTGAGACCCATGGGCTCCACAGGGAGAGCGGGGAGAAGAGAAGGGAGGAAAGAGAAGGGAACAGGAGGGAGAAAAGAGAAGGGAACAGGAGGGAGAAAAGAGAAGGGAACAGAAGGTAGAAAAGAGAAGGGAACAGGAGGGAGAAAAGAGAAGGGAACAGAAGGGAGGAAAGAGAAGGGAACAGGAGGGAGGAAAGAGAAGGGAACAGGAGGGAGGAAAGAGAAGGGAACAGGAGGGAGGAAAGAGAAGGGAACAGGAGGGAGGAAAGAGAAGGGAACAGGAGGGAGGAAAGAGAAGGGAACAGGAGGGAGGAAAGAGAAGGGAACAGGAGGGAGGAAAGAGAAGGGAACAGGAGGGAGAAAAGAGAAGGGAACAGGAGGGAGAAAAGAGAAGGGAACAGGAGGGAGAGAAGACAGAAAAGAAAAGAAGAGGAAATGTCTTTTCCACACTGTGGGACAGGACAGGCTAGAGAAGGGGAAGCTTCCAGCAGAGCAGCTCCTCACAGTGCTCTGCCTCAGAAGGTTTTCCCTGGAGGGTGAGGAAGGAGAAAGGAGCTGAGCTCAGCCTGGGGTTTCACCCTGAGGCAGGGGCAGGAGGTGATGCAGGGGTGCCCAGATCATCCCAGGCTGGGAGCCAGGGCTGGGGTCTGCAGGTGCTCCCCGAGCTCAGGGGATGTGGGAGGAAGGCTCAGCTCCTCCCTGAGCCTCCCCACAGCTGTGCCCCAGGCAGGGGTGCTGAGCAGCAGCCCTGGGGCCCAGCAGAGCCCCTGCACCCACCTGTAAATGGAGATGTTCTCGATGAGCTCGCTGGTCCTGCTGTCCCTGAGCACAATCCCCCGCGGTGACACCTTCAGGGTCACCTTCTGCAGCTTCTTCCCGCTTGCCTTGGCCTTGGGGAGGGACAGAGGGAGGGGAAGGCCCAGGCTTGAACCCCGGCACCTCCAAAGGTGTGGGAGCAGCTGGGGATGCACTCTGCTCTCACAGTGTGCTCAACCCTTCCCTTCCCTTCCCTGTCAGCGGGCAGGAACACAGGAACACACCTCACCAGGCAGCACAGGCACTGCCAGCCATTATTAACATGTTACATGTCCCCAGGGCCACCAGCACGGCCACAGGAGCTGGCAGCAGGACAGGCCTGGCACGCCTGGGCTCCCGGGTGCTGCCAAACCCCGCTCCAGTGGCAAATGGACACAACATCAGCTTCCAACCAGACTTTGGCAGCCACTTTCCCTCCTTTACTGGCCTGGAGCTCTCAGCCTGCAGCTCACACCCAGCTGGAGCCAGGCTGGAATCCTCAGCCCCATTCCCTGGGGGATTCTGAGTCCCTTGGGCGCCTCAAAGCCCTGCCCAGAGCAGTCCTGCCCCAGCCCTGCAATTCCCTCCTGCCCTGGTGCAGCTCAGGAGAGGATCCAGCACTGCCCACCCCTCTGAGCTTTATGGCTCTGCCTCAGTCACTTTTATAGGGGTTTAAAGAAGCCTTAATTTCACCCAGAGCCTGGTGAGCTGGGAGGCTCCAAGCTGGAGAGGGCTGGGAATTGGGGGATTCAGGAATTCCACTCCTCTGAGGTCCCTGTGGGACAGAGGCCGTGTTGGCTGAGACCTGTCCTGCTCCCTTCCCCTCTCTGCCCTCCAAATCCTGGAAGGAAAGCCCAGAGCAGCCCTGGCCACACTCCAAACCCTGCCCCAGCCCCGGGGCAGGCTGCCTGCAGCAGGTCAGAGCCTCCTCACACAGCCCAGCTTATCACAGCAGCCAGAGCTCAGCATGCTCCAGCCTGGCCCAGAGAGCCCCATCCCACAGCCTAGGCTGGTCCCGGGGGCTCCCAGAGCCTGGAACTGTCTGCAGTGCCCCCCACACCCCTGGAGGGGCTGCAGCTGCAACCCCAGCCCCACGAGCTGCAAATCCCAAACTCCTGGAGCTGCAAATCCCAATTTCCCCCAGCTGCAGCTCTGAAACTCCTCCCCGTGGGACCCCCCCCAAGGGCCAGCAGGGCCACCTGGTGACCCTTGGGGACACCTGGGGACACTCACGGTGGCCACGATCCTTTTGACAGCGGCTGCAGAGAGCTCCTCTCCCTTGGGCTGCTCCACCAGGGTCATGCCCAGGTACTTGAGGCTGAAGAGCATCCCCTCCAGCAGCGTCTCCCTCGTGTCTGTCCAGTTCTCAGGCAGCTCTGGGGACACACGGGAGGCTCTGGAGTCACAAACTCATGGCAGCAGCACTTCAGCCACCAGGTGCTCACCTGGGAGCCTCCCCTGCAGCTCTCCAAGGCACCAAAACAAACCCCAAAACGTTTTCCACACCAAACCCTTCAGGAGCCCCCAGTTTACCTGGGAGCCGCCTCGTGCCCTGACCCTGCAAAGCTTCACCTGCACAAGGAGGCTAAAATGGGATTTGCTGCTAATCCCGGGCAGCTGCTGGGAGCCAGGTGAGGGGAACGATCCCCCCCAGGCCTGAGGAGCCCCCCAGGAGCAGAGGGCTCTGCTCTCCCCTTGGAAACCAGCACTGAACGGTTCCCCAAAGTGCTGGGGGGGAAAGGAGGGTTCGAAATACAGGGACAGGTGTGGGGCCAAGGTGAAAATCAGGTGGGGGTTCCTAAACCTGAAATTCCACCCCGGAGCCAGCTGGGACGGGCAGCTCGAGGGCTTTGCCCCCCCGGTGTCCCCAGGCCAGCCCGTTCGTGTCCCCCCGCTCCCGCTGTAACCCGGGCCGGGTCGGTCCCACGGGATCAGCGACAGCCGCGGGTTCGGTGTCGCCGGGGGGGTGCGGGGTGGCCCCTCCGGGCCCGGTGCCCTCCCCGGCAGGGCCCGCTCGCCACGGGGCCATCGATCGGTGAGCGGGACGAGGTCACAGCGCGCCCGCCGGGCTCCGGCCCTTGGCCCGCGCTGGGGGACACAGGGATACATGGACATGGAGACACGGGGACAGGGGGACACGGGGATACAGGGGAATACAGGGGAATACAGGGACAGGGGGACACGGGGACAGGGGGACAGGGGGGACACGGGGGACACGGGGACCCCCAGCCAGCCCCGCCGCCGCCGCCGGGGAAGGGGCGCAAGGAGCGCGGGGCGGAGCGAACAGCGCGGCGGAAAGTGGGGCTGAAAGTGAGAAAAGAGCGACGAGAAAGCGAAAGAGGAGGCAGAGAGAGAGCAGGGGGCTGGGGGAAGAGAGGGGACGGGGACAGAGCGGAGAGAGGGGAAGGGGCAGGGACCGGAGCAGCGGAGCGGGGCCCGGGCGGGACCCGGGGCAGGGAGCGGGGCCCGGGCGGGATCCGGGACAGGGGAGCGGGGCCCGGAGCGGGGTGCGGGATGCGGGGCCCGGGCGAGATGCGGGGCAGGGAGCGGGGCCCGAAGCAGGAGAGGGGTGCGGGATGCGGGACCCGGAGCAGGGCTCGGGGCAGGGAGCGGGACCCGGAGCGGAGCGCGGGATGCGGGGCCCGGGACAGGAGAGCGGGGAGCGGGAGCCGGGCGGGATGCGGGGAGCGGGGCCCGGGGCAGGGAGCGGGGTCCGGGGCAGGGAGCGGGGCTCGGCTCTCACTCTTGTGCCGCCCGCCGGCCCAGGACGGTTTGTGCACGCTGGGGCTCCTCAGCAGGGCCCGGCCCGCGGACTTGAGCGCGTCCATCCCGGCCCGGCCCCGCCGCAAACTTTTCCTGCGGCGCCAGCGCTGACCGCGTCCGGGGGCGGGGCTATGCAAATGAGCGCTGCCGTCAGCGCACCACGCCCTGTGCCACGCCCACCCCCGCCCCGGGACCCGGAGCGCTGCGGGACCCCAAAAACTCTGCGGGGTCCTAAAAACTCTGCGGAGTTCCTAAAGTTGTGCAAGGTCCCAAAAACTGTGCGGAGTCCCTAAAGTTGTGCAGGGTCCTAAAAACTCCGCGGGGACCCAAAGCTCCTCGGGGTCCCTAAAGCCGTGCAGGGTCCCTAAAGCACTGCGGGGTCCCCAAAACTCCACAGAGACCCAAAAGTTCTGCGGGGTCCCAAAAACTGTGCGAGGTCCCCAGAGCTCTTCAGGAACCCTAAAGCTCCTCGGGGTCCCTAAAGCTCCTCGGGATCCCCAGGTCTGACAGCCCTGTGGGGACACCGTGACCCGGCCACACCCAGGTCCTGTGGGTGCCCCCCAAAATCAGGAGTTGCTTCTCCGCACGGATCTCGCCCCAATTCCCTCCTCCACACAGCTGTGGGTGCAGCTCCGCAGGGATCCCCCCCTTCCCCACTCAAATTCAGGGCCAGGACCCCCCTCTGCTCGCTCCATGACCCCAACAAAGTTGTGTTTGCCCCAGGAGGGGTTTGGTGGCCCGGGCTGGGGTGGGATATCGGGATGTCCTGCCTGAGCAGCCACCCTGGCGTCACCAACGTGTCACCAACTGCTGAGCACGCCATGGAATGGGAGATCAAAGCCCTCGCAGGCTTTCCGAAATGAAAGGATAAAAAAGAGGAGGTGAAAGCCCAGAGGAAACAGGAGCAGCTTGGGAAAGGGGAGCTGAGCCCTGAGAGGGGCTCGTTCCTCCTGCAGCTCCTCCCAGCACGGGCTCAAACTGCCCTGGCAGCTGAGGGAAACTTGGCTGGAACGGTTCTGTGCTGGCTGGGATTTCCTCTCCCGGGGTCAGAAGAGAGGGACCAGGGGTTCAGTCACTTATTCGGGTTAATTCTGCTCTTTGTGACGAGGAATCCAGGCCTGTGTTAAACTGGATTAGTTTTACCGACAGTGCTGGAGCTCCCAGACTGACACCAGCACATCTCGTTATATAATGCAGCAAAGATAAAAATACAGCAGGGTAAAACATCAGCTGGGAGAGGAAATCACTGGAGCACCCCCACTTTTAATGCATCCTGCAAAATGGGGGGAGAAACCCCCGTGCTGGAGGGCTCAGGACATCTCCTGTCACAGCTCCTGTCCAAGCTCTGCACAAATCCTGATTTATTTCAGCCTTGTCACACTCTGCTCACAGCCAGGGCAGGAGCCTGGGGAGCACCAGCAGGCAGGGAAATGTTAAAATATTAAAAATGAAGAGCTGAGTTTTCCTGGGGAGACCCTGCAAGCCCCATCTCTTGGTTTTTGTGGATTTCCTGAGGAAAAGGTTTCGCTCTCCACTTTCCCCACCCTTCCTGTGCTGCTGGGGCAGCCCTGGGCAGGTTTCCCTGCCAGGCTGGGGCACAGGGGATTTTTGGGGGTGCCAGGGGAGCTCCCCTTGCCCCTGAGGTGCCCTGAGGTGCCCCCACCCCTCGATGCCAGCCAGAAAACCCTGGGGGCACCCAGCAGCGCTGCCCTCCCACAGCTGTGATGGGATTTCCCTCCCTTCAAGCTGAGTTTTTGTCCCTTTTTCCCATTCTCTCCCCCAGCCCTGCATCCCCAGGGGCAGATTTGCTGCTGCTGGTGTCACTCCCAGCCAGGCTGTGCCAGAGCACGGGGTCTGAGGTGCAGGCAGGAGCAAAAGCAGCTGTAAAGCAGCAGATGGGCAGCGCCCGGGCTGCTCTGCCAGGGCAGATTTGGGAGCTAATAATAATTGTAAACATCTCAGTGCAACCTGGTTAATCCTGATCATCCCCTGGGATTTGTGGGAGTTTTGTGTGCTGGGACATCCCTGAGTGTGGTGGCGTTTGAGGGTCCCAGGACGAGGGAAGAGATGAGAATGTTGGCTCCATGTCTCAGAAGGCTGATTTATTGTTTTATGATCTATATTATATTAAAAGAAAATGCTGTATTAAAACTATACTGAAGAATAGAAGAAAAGATTTCATCAGAAGGCTTGAAAGGAATGGAAAAGAATGAGAATAGAATCTTGTGAGTGACCAGACAGTGTCTGAGCCAGCTGGGCTGTGATTGGCCATTAATTAGAAACAACCACATGAGCCCAATCCCACATGCACCTGTTGCATCCCACAGCAGCAGATAACCATTGTTTGCATTTTGTTCCTGAGGCCTCTCAGCTTCTCAGGAGGAAAAATCCTAAAAAAAATATTTTTCCTAAAATGTGTCTGTGACACCTGAGTGTCCCCAGCCCCAGCTGGGATTCCTGCAGTGCCAGCCAGGTGAAAATAAAGAAAATAAAGGAAATAAAAGAAATAAAGGTGCCACTCTGAGCCCAGGTTCCATTTCAGCCCTGGATGTGCTCCCAGCCTGGGCTCAGCAGCCCTGGAGTCTCACACAGCCCCCAGTGATGTTTTCAACTCACAAATCTCCACTGAAACACGAGGTTTGGGGATTTTTGTGGTTGGAAATATGAAGAGCACGAGTTCAAAAATGTACACGGCCAGCGGAGAAATGGGACTTTTAAATTTATTTATTTATTTTTTTAATCTCTGGATCCGGGGGAGGAGCTGACTCTGGGGTTTGGAGCTTTTCATAGAGAAACTGGAATCTGCTCCCGTGGTGGAATCTGCTCCTGCTGGCCTGGGGACAGAGGGACACAGGGACAGAGGGACACAGGGACAGGGGGACACAGGGACAGAGGGACAGGGGGACAGAGGGACAGGGGGACACAGGGCCGGGCTCCTCAGCAGCTGCTGGGCAGGGGTTGCGGCTGGAAGGGGTAAAAACCACAAAAATCCTTTTTGAACTCATATAAATAGAAGATTTTTTTCTAATGGCAAAATAAAAACCCCCAAATCAACCCCAAACCTCAGCTCATTTTTGTTTAAAATTCCCTCAGAAACATGGTGGGAAATGTGAGTTTTTTTCTGCTGGGGAGCCCCAGAGTTCCCACCTTGCCCAGAAGCAGAACCAAGGCTCAGTTTCACCTTCATTTTCCTGATTAAAATGCTTTTTTCCATCTCTAACTCCATTTAAGGGCCCATTTTCCAAGCACACCGAGGGCTCAGCTCCCCTTGGAAGCCCAGGGGAGGTTTTAAGGCCAATCAGGAATGTTGGAGTTGCCCTCTCCAGGTTTGGGTGCCACAACTCCCCTTTTGCTTGGGGCCACAGCTGATTTTTCCTTTGGATTCACCGGCATGGCCACATCCCTAAAACCACAATTCCCAGGGCAAGGCAGGCCCCAGAATTCATTAAAATGAAAGGGTTCAAATGTCAGCTCCTGCCTGGCACAGGGGCTGGAAGGGGCAGGGAGAGCTCAGCTCCAGGAATTTATTACTGCAGCTCTCTGCTGATTTACATTTTTGCATTCATTAAAGCAGCATTTCCAATTCCCAGCCTTCCTGCTCTCCCATTCCGTGTCCCGGCCAGGATCTCAATTTATTCCAGACAAATAAATTTATTTATTCCAGACAAATCCTCTGAGGCAGCTTCCTGAGCTCCTCTTGGGTGTTGAACTCTCCTGCTGGCACCCCCAGGGCACAGAGGGGCTGCCCTGGGCATGGGGGAAGGAACATCCCCAAATCCCATCCCCATCCCTAATTCTATCCCCAATTCCATCCCAATTCCATCCCCATCCCCAAATCCCAATCCCCATCCCCATCCCTAATTCCATCCCAATTCCATCTCCAATCCCAATCCCCATCCCCATTCCCAATCCCATCCCAATTCCCATCCCCATCCCTAATTCCATCCCAAATCCATCCCCATCCCCAATCCCAATCCCATCCCCATCTGTATTCCCATCCCCAATCCCATTCTCACATTCCCAAATGCCAATCCCATCCCAATTCCCATCCCCATCCCTAATTCCATTCCCAATCCCATCCCCATCCCCATTCCCAATTCCATTCTCATCCCCATTCCCAAATCCCAGTCCCATCCCAATTCCCATTCCCATCCCTAATTCCATCCCTAATTCCATCTCCATCCCCATCCCTAATTCCATTCCCCTTCCCATCCCAATCCCATCCCCATCCTCAATTCCCATCCCCATCCCCAATCTCAAATCCCAATCCTATCCCGAATTCCAAACCCCAATCCCATCCCCAATCCCATCCCTAATTCCATTTCCAATCCCATCCCCATCTCATCCCCATCCCTAATCCCATCCCAATCCTATTCCCATTTCCAAATCCCATCCCCAAATCCCCATCCCCAAATCCCAATCCCATCCCAAATCCCATCCCCATTCCCAATCCCAAATCCCATCCCCATTCCCAATCCCCCATCCCCATTCCCATTCCCTCCCCAATCCCAGTCCTGGGCTGGCATCACCTGCGTCCCCCCTGTCCCCTCCAGGCAGGGATTTGGGGTCCCCCAGGTCTGTTCCATCCCCCTTCCCTCCCTGGGCTGTTTTTCCATCATTTATTCCAAAGGGAACGGGAATTGTTGGGAGCCTCTCCCACCGGGGTGGCACTGCCACCGCTGCCATGGCAACCTGCCTTTGTTTCTGGGCGCTGCTCCATCACAATTAATAACTAATTAATAAAAATCCTCCCCTGCACGTGGGCCCTGCCCCGGGCGCTGCCCCCGCTCCCTCGGGGCACGTGGAGAGAGCAAAGAACAGAAAAAAAAAATGGGAAAAAAAATGAAATTTCTGGCCTGGTCGGGTCTCTGGGACAGGCAGGGCCACCTGGGGGTCTTTGTTGTTTTTACCCCTTGAACCTGGGGATTTTTGTGTTTTACCCCATCTACCTGGGGATTTTTGTGGTTTTTACCCCTTGCACCTGGGGATTTTTGTGGTTTTTACCCTTTCCAGCTGCACCCCTCCTGCCCAGCAGCTGCTGAGGAGCCCGGCCCTGTGTGCCCCTGTCCCCCTGTCCTTGTGTCCCCCTGTCCCTGTGTCCCCGTGTCCCCGTGTCCCCCTGTCCCTGTGTCCCCCTGTCCCTGTGTCCCCCTGTCCCTCTGTCCCTCTGTCCCTGTGTCCCTCTGTCCCCCTGTCCCCCTGTCCCCCTATCCTTGTGTCCCCCTGTCCCTGTGTCCCCGTGTCCCCCTGTCCCTGTGTCCCCCTGTCCCTGTGTCCCCCTGTCCCCAGGCCAGCAGCAGCAGATTCCACCTCGGGAGCAGATTCCAGTTTTTCTATGAAAAGCTCCAAACCCCAGAGTCAGCTCCTCCCCCGGATCCAGAGGTTTAAAAAACCAAAAAAGCCAATTTAAAAAGTCCCATTTCTCCGCTGGCCGTGTGCATTTTTGAACTCGTGCTCTTCATATTTCCAACCACAGAAATCCCCAAACCTCGCGTTTCAATGGGGATTTGCTGAGAGCACCAGGAACCCAAAAATAATTAAAAATCCTCAATATCGGGGGGGGCTGGTGCTGAGAATCCAACAATAATGAAAATAAAATAATAACAATAAATAAATTAATAAAATAAAATAAATAAAAACCACAGTATCAGGGGGACCTGGTGCTGAGAGCCCCAGGAACCCAAAAATGATTAAAAATCCCCAATATTGGGGGCGGGGAGCTGGTGCTGAGAATCCAAAAATAATTAAAATAAAATAATTAAAATAATATAATAATAAAAAATAATAAAATAATAATAACATAAATAAAAACCCCAATATCGGGGGGGGGGTGGTGCTGAGAATCCAAAAATAATTAAAATAAAATAATATAATAATAAAAATAATAAAATAATAATAACATAAAATAAATAAAACCCCAGTATCAGCGGGGCCTGGTGCTGAGAGCCCCAGGAATCCGAAGATGATGGAGTCACGTTCAGATCTCACATTTAGGGGAAAATGGATTTTCCCAGCCTGGGGAGAGCTCAGGATTTGTTCTCCGAGGCTCCTGGGCCCTCTCGTGGCTGCCGGGGACAGGACACGAAGGAATTTCCTGCAATTTCCTATCGAACACCCAGATCGTGCTACTGGAAGGAGATTCCTGGGTTTGGAGTGCAGAAAATGCATCTGTTGCACATAAATGTCCTCAAAATAAAATGTTTGGAGCGGCTGCTGGGCACGGGAGTGGCAGGACATTATCAAATAATGATAATGATAAAGAACAATGATATTGAATAATAAAAAATAATAAAAATAAAATAAAATTAAAAGTAAAAAAATAAAATTAAAATAAAATTGAATAAAAATAAAATTAAAATTAATTAAACTAAAATAAATAAAAAATAAAAGATAAAAATTTTAAAAATTAAATAAATAAATAAATAAAATAAAATAAAATACAATAAAAATAAAATAAAATAAAATAAAATAAAATAAAATAAAATAAAATAAAATAAAATAAAATAAAATAAAATAATTGCTCAGGGAAGCCCTGGCAGTGCCTCCAGCCGGATCCTGGGAAAACCCAGGATATTCACCCCAAATCCAACTGCAGCATTCAAAAAAAAAAAAAACCATTTTACAACCCAGAATGGGCAGAAAGAGAAACCAGGGAGAAGCTGCTCCTCCTGTGTGGCTGAAAAAGGACAAAGGCCAAATTTCCAGACTTCTGCAAGTCTCAGTAAATTTAAATTTACCTGGTTTGGAGCCCCCAGGCAGGGGAAGCTGCTGATTTAACACAGGAACCCAAATCCAGCTGCTCTTCCTTTGCTTCACTGCTGCAAAAGGAAAACCTTACCTGGAATAACAAACCAAACTTATCCTTCGTGCTTCCACATCAGGACAGTTCAAAAAGGGAAAAAAATTAAAAATATTTCTTTTTATCTACAAGAAAATGTTTCTTCTTTGTAAACCCCACAGAAGGAAAAAATAAAAAATAAAAAAGGAAGCAGCCCAGACCAAGTGGGGAACAAAAAGGCAAAAAGGGGGAGCTGGAGATAAAAATCATGGATAAATTCCATGTTGAGCACGGGATGGGAAAGCTCCGAGCAGCTCCCATGGGGGAGCAAAGCACCCACAGCAAATGCACCCCTGGAATTTGGGTTTCCCTGTGCCCCGAGGGCCCTGCTCCTTCTTCTTGTTGTTGTTCCATCATTAAAACAAAGAAATGATTTTCTTTTCAGAACCTCCAGAGTCGTTGTTTGTTTGTAAAGTCCCAAAGCTGGGGCTGGATTTTCTCTTGGCTTTGCCCCCTCCCAACTCCCCACCCTCCCACTCCGACCCACTGCAAAAATCCCTTTCTGTGGATGCAAACTCACGTTTTTAATTTCTGTTAAATTTGAGTGCTTTGTGCAATTTGAGGGTTTCCTTGAAAACTCCTGAATAAAAACCCCAAACTCACATTTTTAATTTGTGTTAAATTTGAGGATTTCCTTGAAAACTTCTTAAAACCCCAAACTCACATTTTTAATTTGTGTTAAATTCGAGTGTTTTGTGCAAGTTGAGGGTTTCCTTGAAAACTTCTTATAAAAAAACCCAAACTCACATTTTTAATTTGTGTTAAATTCTAGTGTTTTGTGCAATTTGAGGGTTTCCTTGAAAACTTCTTAATAAAACCCCAAACTCACATTTTACATTTGTGCAATTTGAGGGTTTCCTTGAAAACTCCTGAATAAACACTCCAAAGTCACATTTTTAATTTGTGAGTTTCCCTGAAAACTCCCCAATAAGAACCCCAAACCCACATTTTTAATTGGTGTGAAATTCAAGGGTTTCCTTGAAAACTCCTCAATGAACCTCCCCAATGAACCTCCCAGGGCTGGGAAGCCCTGGGACAGGAGGGGAGGCCTGGGTCAATGAGAGGTGAATAAAATCAAATAAAAACCCCCAGAACTGCAGCTTTTATTGGGCAGCTTTCCAGTGTCTCGTGTACAGAACATTGCACAGCTCCACCTCCGCTGCCCCAGGGCAGGAGCACCCAGGACAGAACAAATGCAGAGTTTGGAAATGAAACCGAGGATGGAGCCCGGGCCCTGACCCAGCACGAGCAGCTCTGAGCGAGCCCTGATGCAGAAGCTGGATGACAGTGAAGGGGGCAAAATAAAATCAGTTTAAACCATCAAGTTTCCTCTTGAAATGTCTTTTCCCAAGGCACTGTGAACCAGACTGTTCAGCAATTCTCCATGACTGAAAAAACACCAATGGGGATAGAAATATTTCACACAACAACCACCGTCACATCATCAGCTATTCTTTATTCCTTCCCTTGAACAACGCCCCTGGAATTTGTTTGGTCCTTTGAGGGGGGGAAAATCAAATTATCTTCTGCAACATCCACGTGTTTGTATTGAACACATCTATAAATCAAAGCTTTGTTGGGTTGTTTAACCCTTCCGCTGGAAAACTGAGGGGTTTTCCTCACTGATGAATCTGCAAATCCAATTTAATAATTAAATAAAAAAACTGAGGAGAAAGGGTTCAAAACCAAGCAAAGCCCTGTGGTTTTGATTTGTTTTTTTGTTTTTTTTTTTTTTCAAGAGGAAACCATGCAAGAGTACATAAAAAGGCAAAATTGGCTACTTGAAAACCAAGAATCGTTTTTAATGCGTTGGCCAAGGAAAATAAATCGCAAAGTTCTGTGAGGTTCCCTAAAAATTTACAAGAAAAAACCAATGGGCAGTTCTAGCCAATGCTCTTTTCTCCTGCTGGAAATGACAACAAACACAGTCCCACACGAAACAATTTCATCTTGACTGCAAGAGACCCCTGGGGCACGGAGAACCTGGGCACTCCCTCATTTCTTCAGGGGCTGGTACACGGAGGCGTTGGGGTCGAGTCCAGAGGGGCTGGGCTCCACGAATTTGGAAGAATAATGTGGGGACACGGGGCTCAGAGTGCTGGTGGCTGCAGTGTAGGTGATGCTGGGCATCACTGCCATCACCTCTGCAATCTTCTGCTTCAGCTCCTTGATCTCCTGATCCTTCTGCAGGATCTGCCCTGCGAACGGCAAAGCACAGCAGCACTCAGAGCCTGAAATCAGCACCCAGGGGCTCAGAACCTGAAAGCATCAACCAGCAGCTCAGAGCCTGAAATCAGCACCCAGCAGCTCAGAGCCTGCTCTGAAATCAGCACCCAGGAGCTCAGAACCTGCTCTGAAAGCACCAACCAGGAGCTCAGAACCTGCCCTGAAACCACCACAGAGCAGCTCAGAACCTGAAATCACCACCCAGGAGCTCAGAACCTGGCAAGCCCTGAAATCTGCACCCAGGAGCTCAGAGCCTGCCCTGAAACCACCACCCAGCAGCTCAGAGCCTGCTCTGAAATCACCACCCAGCAGCTCAGAACCTGAAATCTGCACCCAGGAGCTCAGAACCTGCCCTGAAATCATCACCCAGGAGCTCAGAACCTGAAACCACCACAGAGCAACTCAGAACCTGCTCTGAAATCAGCACCCAGGAGCTCAGAGCCTGAAAGCACCACCCAGCAGCTCAGAGCCTGCCCTTAAATCACCAACCAGCAGCTCAGAACCTGGCAGCCCTGAAATCAGCACCCAGGAGCTCAGAACCTGCCCTTCCCTGGCTGACACCTCTGAAATCACCCCTCGTGCAGCCCAGAGCCTGCCCTTCCCTGCCTGAGAGCCCTGAATCAGCCCCTGTGCAGCTCCTGGTCTGTGCTCACAGCTGGATTTGGTTGTCTCCAATTGCTACAGAACAAATCTCAGCTCTCCCATTATAATTTTGCATTATTTGGATTCACAGCTGCACCACCCCTAAAGATTAATTCTATTTAATCTCAGTTTTCTGCCATTTTTTTTCTGCCTTTTTTTTTCATTCCCCTTCTCCAAACTCCTCACAAAAAGCAAATATTTGGTCATGAAAGTTGTTAATTTTCCAAACTCTCCCATTTCCATCATTTCTCTCTGAGTTTCCACACCACCACCACCACAGCAATTCCTGCAACCAGGTGATGGAAAAAACCCATTGCTGAAACAAAACAAAACAATTTCTCCCTCTAATTAAATATTCCTGCAGTCAAAGAACCTTCTGCAGGGAAATGAAATGCAAAGTTCTTGAGTTGCTCCATGGCTTGCAGAGCTGCAAAGCCTGGCCTGGGTTTGATGTTGGTTTTCTGCTCCCTCTGGTGGCACCACCAGCAGTGCCCACACTCCCCTCACCTGCTCAGGGTTAAAACACGTTGGATTCTCCTCAAATTTAAGTTTTATTTACTTGAGGAGTAATAAAATATTATTATTAGGATGACAGGAGAGCAGCTTAATAACAGGCTTAATTTAATTTATCTCTTTTAAAGAGAGAGTTCTTCCAGAGCTTTAAAAGATCTCCAGCTTCTTGTAATGGCTTATAAACTGCAGAAAATAACCATGAATTAATTAAAACACCAATTTTAACCTTCATTATCATGATGGGCTGGGAAGGTGAGCTCAGATGGCTCCAGCTCCGCATTCCCAAAGCTGGAAATGCCAAATTCCCTGTGAGAAGCCGCAGGATTGTGTGGGATGGAAGCCCCCAGGTACCTTGGGCAATCTCCAGCTGCCTTTTGGCATCTCCCAGGGCAGAGAAAAGGTCCAGCTTGATCCTGGTCTCTGCACTCAGGCTGTTCTCCAGGTGCTGGGTCTTGTCCTGCATGGCCGAGAGCGCCGACATCAGCACCTCCGTGTCCTTCTCGTTCTCCTTGTATTTCCTCAGCTCCTGCAGGGAAAACTGGGGTCAGAATGGAGCAGTGCCAGCCTGGGGGCACAAATGGCATCCTAGGGGGGCAGAAATATCATCCTGGGGGCAGAAATATCATCCTGGGGGCAAAAAAATGTCAGCTTATTGAGCAAAAAAATGCCATCCTGGGGGGCAAAACAAACCCACCCCGAGGGGCAAAAAAATGTCAGCCTAGGGGCAAAAATGTGATCCTAGGGGGCAAAAAAGAGTCAGCCTAGGGGCAAAAATGTGATCCTAGGGGGAAAAAATGCCACCGTGGGGGAGTTCACAGAGCAGACAGAGCCAGGAGTGTTTCCCCTTCCCCAGCCTGGGCCTGGCATTAATTAAAGTGCTGGATAATTAAGGTTACCTCCACCCTGCAGGTGATTAAAGGTGTGATTAAGCACATTTGCTCTGGGCCTCAGCCCTCCACCCCAAATCCCTCTCCAAGAGGCAGCTGGGGCAGGCTGGGGTGTGGGAACATTTCCCTCAGGAAAAGGCTGGAATCACACAAGTGCTCCTGCTGGAAAAGGCCTCAGAGAGCATCAAATCCAACTAAAACACATCCCCAAGTGCCACATCCTCGGCTTTGGGCATTCCAGGGATGTGGATGCCATCCCTGCTGCACAAAAACATGGAAAAACCTTCCCTAAAGGCCATTCCAAGAGGCTGAATAAAGGGATTGCTTGGATCTCACCTCAAACCTCACTGTGCTGCAATGCCAGGAATTAAGGGAAGGGAAAAGCAGGGAGCAATTATCCTGGGAAACTGTGGCTGGGGGGGAAAAAAAATACAGAAATATTCTACACCTTCAAATGGAGGGACAACGGTGCAAAGGGGAGAATATTAATGCCTGCAACAAAAAGCTTCCCTAACAGTTTGAAGATGCTCGTGAAATTAGAAAGCTTAATTAGAGCTGGGTTTAATTATCTGAGAGCCATGCTCAAACACTCCAGGGATAAGCCACACTTGTTGTCAGGGGTTTGGTAAATCCAGGGACAAGGAGGCTGCACCTGTGATTGGGAAACAAGTCCACAGCAGCACCAGGTGGGCTTTGAAAGGGCATTAAAAATCCATTTTCATGCAGATTGTCAGTCTGAGCACATCCTTAGCACAGAAATAAGGGCACACATTTGAGCTCTTCAGCTGTAACAAACCCAACTCTACTTGCTGCACACCTGCCACAAAGTATTTTCAATATTCAGGCACTTTAACACCAAAACAATGGCCTGGCCAGTGCTCCAGACTGCCCTGAATCAGCAAGCTTTAGTAAAATTTATGGTTTATTATAATGAGACTATCACAGGCTCCTTGCATGAGGGGAAAAATGCTGCTGAGGGGATCCTACCCTCAGCCTACACAGACCAGGGGGTTTGGGGGGAAAAATCCCCATTTAACCAACAGAATGGTCTGGAAGGAGCCTCTGGGCCCTGCTGGATCCATGGGAAGGTCTGGAAGGAGCCTCTGGGCCCTGCTGGATCCATGGAAAGGTCTGGAAGGAGCCTCTGGGCCCTGCTGGATCCATGGAAAGGTCTGGAAGGAGCCTCTGGGCCCTGCTGGATCCATGGAAAGGTCTGGAAGGAGCCTCTGGGCCCTGCTGGATCCATGGAAAGGTCTGGAAGGAGCCTCTGGGCCCTGCTGGCCTCACACTGCCCAGCCCAGGGCAGGAGCTGCAGGAGCTGCGCTCCCTGGGCATTGCTGTGCTGCAGGTACAGGGATGTGGGAGGGCTGGGAGCTCTCCCTGGTGCTGCCCTGAGCCCCTGGAGCTGGGGCATTACCTGCACTTTGATTTCCAGCTCTCTGATCTGGTCCTCCTTCAGTTTGATGTCGATGCTGAGCTTCTTGCACTCGGTCTCCAGCTCGCGGATGCGGCTCCGCAGGGTCTCGGTGCACTCCCCTCTGCAGGGACACAGCACAGCTCAGCAGCTGGGACAGCAGAGCCCTCAGGGAGCAGAGCCAGCCTGCCCCAGGCCTCAGGGAGCACAGCCAGCCTGCCCCAGGCCTCAGGGAGCACAGGCAGCCTGCCCCAGGCCTCAGGGAGTACAGGCAGCCTGCCCCAGCCCTCAGGGAGCAGAGCCAGCCTGCCCCAGCCCTCAGGGAGCAGAGCCAGCCTGCCCCAGCCCTAAGGGAGCACAGGCAGCCTGCCCCAGCCCTCAGGGAGCAGAGCCAGCCTGCCCCAGCCCTCAGGGAGCACAGGCAGCCTGCCCCAGGCCTCAGGGAGCAGAGCCAGCCTGCCCCAGCCCTCAGGGAGCACAGGCAGCCTGCCCCAGCCCTCAGGGAGCACAGCCAGCCTGCCCCAGCCCTCAGGGAGCACAGGCAGCCTGCCCCAGGCCTCAGCCTGCCCCTCCTCGGCTGCTCGCAGCACCAACAATTCAAATAAAATAAAATCTGAAGCTTGGAAAGAAGGAGCCAGCTTTGGTGTGCCCAGCAAAGCCATTGCCCCGCAGCAATGCAGTTACTGAGTGTCACACCTCAGCTGCTGGGAGGTTTGGAATATTGATCAAATATTCAATATTCCAATTGATGAGAGATTCACTCCTTCCTGGGGAGAGCAGAAAGGCAGGAATAATTCCTTTCAGACATTTGGAGCCCTGCAGGTTACAGTGCCCCCAGCTTGTGCTGCTGTGGGAACACAGAACCCACAGGGAGCAGTGCCCCAGCAGGAACATTCCAGAATTATGGCCAATGTCACTGCACAAAGCCTTGATTCCCAGTTCCCAGGTGAAGGGAGATGCTCCTTTGAACAGGACACAACAGCTCTGAGAGCACAGTGCAGGAGGAGCAGGTAATTTAGAGCACACTCCTCCTGTACATGTGTAAATGTCATGGAGGCACTGAGGCTCAGCTGCAGGGGAGGCATCTCCCAGGCCTGCCTTGTTTTAACACAAATGAGCCTCTCAACTCAAATAAAGCTGCCTTTTTTTTTTAATAAAAGATTTTTTTAAAGTAAAAGATCAAACCCAGGCTCCTCCCTCCCACCCCAAAGGCTCCCAAGGGCAGAGCACCTGGTAGCAGCAGCAAAGGCCACAGCTCGTGCTGCAGTTGCTTCTTCCAACTTCTTCCTCTTCTTTTCTTCCATTAATTGTTTTTCTACAAAGGTTCGTGCCTCCTGCTCTGCCTTTAGCTTCTTCTCCAGCTGGCTGATCATTTGTTTGTCTTTTTGTTTCATCTGTACAGCATTGTGCAATCTGCAGGGGGACAGGGATGGGAGTGAGCTTGAAATCTGCCTGGATTTGCCTCCCATTTTAGGATTATTTAACACAAAAATCAAACTGTTATTACTACTCCCATATCCTTGAAAACCCCTTAATTTCCAGTTTACAACAATTCCTAATAGTAAACTGTCATTCCTACTCCCATATCTCTGCCTGAGAACCCCATCATGTCCAGATTACAATTCCTAATAATGAACTGTCATTCTTACTCCCATATCCTTGAGAACCCCATAATTTCCAGATTACAATAATTCCTAATAACAAACTGTTATTCCTACTCCCATATCCCTGAGAACCCCTTAAGTTCCAGACTACAATTCCTAATAACAAACTGCTATTCCTACTCCCATATCCTTGAGAACCCCTTAATTTCCAGATTAAGGGAAATCTTGGATAATTCCAAATAAACTGTTATTCCTACTCCCACATCCCTGAGAACCCCGTAATATCCAAATCACAATTCCTAATAATGACCTGTCATTCCCACTCCCATATCCCTGCCTGAGAACCCCGTAATGTCCAGATTACAACAACCCCTAATAACAAATTTATTCCTACTCTCGTATCCCTGAGACCCCCGCAATTTCCAGATTACAATTCCCAATAACAAACTGCTATTCCTATTCACATATCCTTGAGAACCCCTTAATGTCCAGATTACAACAATTCCTAATAGCAAACTGCTATTCCTATTCACATATCCTTGAAAACCCCATAATCTCCAGATTACAACAATTCTAATAACAAACTGCTATTCCTACTCCTGTATCCTTGAGAACCCCTTAATTTCCAGATTACAACAATCCCTAATAACAAATTTATTCCTACTCTTGTATCCTTGATGCCCCCGCAATTTCCAGATTACAATTCCTAATAACAAACTGCTATTCCTATTCACATATCCTTGAGAACCCCATAATTTCCAGATTACAATTCCTAATAACAAACTGCTATCCCTATTCACATATCCTTGAAAACCCCGTAATGTCCAGATTACAACAATCCCTAATAACAGATTTACTCCTCCTCTCGTATCCCCGACACCCCGCCATTTCCCGATCACAATTCCCAATGACAATTCCATCCTCCCCAGTGCCCCATCCCCACCTGAGCACCCCAAACACCCCCATCCCAGTGGGGAGGGTGTTTCCCTGTGCCCATTTCCCCCTGGCACGTACTTGTTCTGCAGCAGCTCGTTCTCCTGGCGCAGCTGGCCGGTCTCCGCGCGCGCGCCGCGCTCGGCCGAGCTCAGCGAGCTCACCTGGCTGCGCAGCTCCTGCTCCACCTGCCTGCTGGCCTGCAGGTCAGCCTTCAGCTTCTTGATGTCCTGCTCCAACCTGGGGGCACAGGGACAGCGGCACCGCGTGGGGACGGGCTCACAAGGGACACAAGGAGCCCCACAGGGGCAGCGCCATGCGCCTGACACCCGGGACCGCGTTCATGGGGTCCCAGGATGAGGGAGAGAGGAGGACCTGACTCCCTGTTTCACAAGGTTTGATTTGTTATTTTATGGTATCTATTATATTAAAACTATGCTAAAAGAATAGAAGAAAGGATTTTAGCTAAGAATGAAAAAGGAAAGAATCATAAAAAAAGCTTGTGGAGCGGACTCTCCGTCCGAGCCAGCTCACTTTGATTGGCTATTAATTAGAAATAACTAACATAAGCCAATCCCAGATGCACCTCTTGCATTCCACAGCAGCAGGTAATTACTGTTTACACTTCGTTCTTGAGGCTTCTCAGCTTCTCAAAAGGAAAAATCCTAAGGAAAGGATTTTCCATAAAAGATGTCTGTGACAGACTCCGTGTTCTCAAGGCTCATTTATTAATTTATTACACTGTACTATTTATTACTTTATTTGGGATAAATAAAGTAATTTTATTTCTATTTTATTTGGGATAATCTTTGGATTTATTACTTGATTTGGAACCCAGGGAACTCCTCTGGCTGCCCTGGAGGGCTCCAGCCCCTGCCCAGAGGGCTCAGAGACCTTGGCACAGAGCCCAAGCCCCCTGTGCCTTTGATTCAGCCCTTGGAAAAAAACAATTACCAACCTTTCTATGGAGAATTACAAGCCAAGAAAGTTTAAGTAGAATGACAGTGAATTTATCACAGGGTGAAAAATCGATTTTTGGGGTTTTTAGAATGGGGGTTCAAGGGGCAAGATGGAGGAATCTTGGCATGTCCAGCCTTTCTCCTCCTTCTTCTTGGCCTCCCCATCTTCTGGGTGATGTTGGCACTTTGGGATTGGTTTAGAGTAGAAGCTCAGTGTCTGACACAGGTGATGGGTATTGGGAAGGAATTGTAAATATTGTACCCGTATTGTCCTGCTCCAAAGCAGGACTGAGCCACTCACAGAGATTTAATTCTGTCCTCAAATGCTGATTTGGATTTGCCAGCCAGAGCTGTGAATTGTCACCTCAACATGTTGGAGTTTTCTTGCAGCACATGATGTGCATGCCGAGTAAGAGGATGTGTTAAGTCACCCCCAGCTCAGGAGTCAGTAAATTTAGTTTTAATTGCTCTTGAACAGAGACCATCTGCTCTACACTTGAAATTGTAGCTTTGGAAAGTTCTTGAAGATCTATGTAATCTTTTTAATTAAAATATTGTTAAATAAAACACACGTTTTGGAGGAGAGGCACTCAGCTCACTTTCACTTTCCCCCACAAATGAGGGTATTGATTCCTAGACTAAAAACACATCACAGGTGAATAATCAACCCCTTTGAACTCTGAAAGCAATACACCCCAGCCATTCTCACACAATCCTCCTCTGCTCTGCCAGCTATTGATCTGAGAGTTTTTAAGTGTCCATAAAGAAGATGAAGGTGGTTTCATTTCCTGGCCTTCCATTCTGAATTGGTGGCAGTGGGACATTAAGAGGAGGAGAGCGCTCACAAAAGCCAAAAAGAGCTGCCCTTAGTGACACTCAGCAGTGCAGATGAATGGCTGGAGCCTTCTGATTTCTTAATGAAACATTTCTGGGCTTCAGGGCAGGGAAAACTCGGCCTAAAAGGCACTGAGAGATGAGCAGGGAGAAGATCCTGTGCCACTGAGGGCAGGGGGGAAGCGAGGGATCCCCAAGGCTGAGGAAATCCAGAGAGGTGGGTCTGGAACACCAAACACACCCAGAGAGATGAGAGGGGCAATGAGGAGCCAGGAGCAGCCCCAGGGGAGCAGGGCTGGGCTGGGACCCCCCTCCTGCCCCAGCTGCCTCTCCAGGGCCATGGAAGTGCCCTCCCTCAAGATGAATTCCTTCAGTGCTCTATAAATGGTCAAAAGCACCCTCAGACAGAAAAAAAAAATAAAAATCAACTTACAGGCAAATAGTAACAGCACAAAGCAAATACCCACCTCCCAGGGAAGTGCACAAGTCACTTGGTGCTCTGCTGAGGGCAAGAATTTGCAAACCTGAGCAAATATTCCAACCTCAGCCCCAAAATGGGAACAGCAGCAGCTGCTTCAGGTGAGTGGTGCCACCCTGTGCAGTGTTAAATGATGGACAGGGCAGTTGTTGGGTGAATGAAACACTTTTTATATAGAAATTATCATTTTAAAGTGCCCACAGGGCCCTGAGCTGCTCTCCAAAAGCCCCAGCTCTGCCTGGCACCAGCAGCTCCTGCAGGGAAGCTGCTCCTTTGAGGGGGCCACTGTGGGACTGACAGGCTCTGCCTGCAGCTCCTGGGAGCAGCCTGCACTCCCAGAAAAGACAGGAATCCCCAAAAACAGCCAGGAATCCCCAAAAACCAGCCAGGGATCCCTCCCAAAAAACAGCCAGGGATCCCCCCCCCCAAAAAACAGCCAGGGATCACCCCCCCAAAAAACAGCCAGGGATCACCCCCCCAAAAAACAGCCAGGGATCACCCCCCCAAAAAACAGCCAGGGATCCCCCCCCAAAAAACAGCCAGGGATCCCCCCAAAACCAGCCAGGGCCCTCCTGTCCCTGCTGCTGCCATTGCCAGGGCTGGAAATGCTCTGTCCTGAGCTCTCTGCTGCCTGGGGAAGGGGCTGCAGGAGGGGTTGGCTCTCACACTCCTCACTTCCATTGCCAATCCTGATTTTGTGTTCTGTGCCTGCCTCCCTGGGGCAGGACACCTCGGCCAGCACCCCCCTGCAGCTGCCACAGGAAACCTTGTGCTGCTTGAACCCAGGCAGGGGCTGAGCAGGAGGCACCAGCCCCTTCTGCCCATCAGTGATGCCACCAAATTGTACAGCATTAGCACCAAACGGCCACAAATTCACATTAAAAACCTCCCAGTCTGCCTCTGCAGGTAACACCATTTTAGGAAAAGTGAAATAAGCTGTGGCAGAGCAGCTTTTGCTTCCCCAAGAATTTTCCCAGTCCGAGTGCCAGAAGATGTCCTCGTTATCTGTGGGAATAATTAGTACATGAGACAGCTTGTTCACCACCCTGTGTGCCAAGGCAGGACCTCTGTGCATGCACACAGTCCTGCCAAGCTGCACTGCCTGGCTTTGTGTGCTTTCAGTGCAGGCATTCTAAGGGTGCTGAAAGGCAGAGGCAGGTCAGGGGTTTTGCAGTGTAATGTGCAATAAACAACAACAACAACAAAAAAAAATAATTCTGCAGCAATTACAGCTTGGACTTGTTCCATACATTGAGGCTGTGAATCTGTTCCACCTCAGAAATGACAGGGAAATGGGAGAAGAGATGGGTTTGCTCTGCACCTCCTGACAAACAGCAGAGTGCAAAGGGACCAGGCTGATCCCAAATGGATCCCTCCAGTGGCCCCATGGCCAGGGAGCTGGGAAAGAGGAACTCAGATCACAAATTCACTGATGAAGGGATTGATAAGGTTCCAGCACCCTCAGGAGGGGCCTCAGAAAACCCCAGAGGTTCCTGAGCCCCCGGGACCCCTCAGCTCCAGCAAGGATGGGGCAATCCCCAGGGATGGGCATCAGGAGGTTCCTGTCCACAAAACTCAGGTTCTGACATTGCAGCAGACACAGCAAAAAGAAAAGCTCAGCTTCAAATAGGAGCATGTGTAAAATATATAATAAACCTTAACTTCAGGACCCCTCCACACAGATCACATCCAACATTTCAGAGTTAACAACCCTGTAAAACTCCTGGTCTCCAAAACCTCCTGATCCTGCCTGTCTCCAGCCCTGCTAATCCCAAGGCCCAGCAGCAGAAGGAACATTTCACATTTACAGAAGGAATATTTCACATTTGCAGAAGGAACATTCCACATTTGCTGCTGGTTACTCAGCCCAGGGCCATCATCTGTGGACACAAAAGGAAAGCAGCTCGGGTCTGCCGTCCTGCTGGACACCCAGTCAGAAAAAGCAGCTTTATTTGGAAGCTGAGCAGATCTGAGCTGAGTCTGAACAAATCAGGACTTCACTGAGCCCTTTCCAGGCTCCAGCAGACTGAAAGTTTAATAACAGGAATGAGTAACACTCCTGGAAGTGGAAAAAATGATGAACAAATGCCTGGAACTCCAGGGACGGGATAATTGACAAGGTTAAAATAAAAAAGCACCATGAATTTTTAAATTTAAGTGCATCCATCCCATCCAATTTGTCAGGTGAGTTTATGCCCCCACTGGTGTGGGAGTTGCCCAGCCAGGCTGGGCAGAAACAAGAGCAGGAGCTGGGTTTGGTGCTGCTGGGCTGCCTGCACAGGGACATCAGGGACAGGGAACAGCTCCAGGGATTTGTGGCACAACTCCACAGCCACACATCCCAAAACCACCTGTCTGAAGGAGTTCAAGTCCCTCTCAGGGCAGAGTAAGGCCCTCCCAGAGTCCAGCTGTGTTCTGTGTCCTTCCAGCAGCTGGAATTCCCTCAGGACAGGATCTGTTTTGTTGTAGGCTCATTTCTGTGATGCAAAACTCACCTTGGGCAATTGGAGAGCACCTGCTCTGATCTCCCACACAAGGATTTCAACAGGAAACTGTTGAGCACAGCAGGTTTAACCCTCAGACCCTGTCCAAGCACACATCCTCAGGCTGGCAGCTCATTCCTCCCCTTCCCTCTGCTCAAAGCAACGTTTGGCACTGCAGCAAACTGAGCTGAGCCCTCTGTCCCTCAGAGAGGGGCAAACAGAGCTCATGAGGAGAGCAGGGCTGGCACTGAGGCAGAGCCACGTGCAGCCCATCCATCCTGCCACAGATCCCTGGCTGCTGTCTGAACCCCACACAGGTCCTATAGAGACATTAGGCATCAATTAGTATGGGTGTTTAATTGGCAGATCCTGTCCCTCAATTAATCCAGGTGTTTAATTGGCAGGATCCTGTCACACATCTCACTGACTGGCTGCTTTCTGAACCCCACACAGATCCTATACACACATTAGGTATCAATTAGTATGGGTGTTTAATTGGACTAATCCTGTCACAGATCACACTGGCTGCTGTCTGAACCCCACACAGATCCTATACACACATTAGGTATCAATTAGTCCAATGTTTAATTGGCAGGATCCTGTCACAGATCACACTGGCTGCTTTCTGAACCCCACACAGATCCTATACACACATTAGGTATCAATTAATCCAGGTGTTTAATTGGACTAATCCTGTCACAGATCACACTGGCTGCTTTCTGAACCCCACACAGATCCTATACACACATTAGGTATCAATTAGTCCGGTGTTTAATTAGCAGGGGTATGTCAATCAGGGAGAGAGTGATTATCAGAAGGCAAGATAATATTTCCATTGAAGTAATTGTGTTCCCACAGCACAAATCCTCTGAGATAAAAGCCCAATTATCAAAGGTACCTGCATGGAAAACAAGCCTGATCTGCCAATTAAGCTGGCCACCGTTGATGGAGTAAGGAATAAGAGACATGGGCAGGTGGGAAATGTGGAGCAGGGCAGAACTGTGGGACAGTTGTAGTTCCAGACATGTCCCCATGCACAGTCCCAGCCCTTTGCTCACTGCTGCATTTCATGGCAGCACAGGACAACACCTCTGACCTGACAGGTCCACGTCCCTGTGGACTCCCAGGAGCAGGCAAAGCTGGGATTTTCCATCAGACCCCAGAGCTGAGCTCAGCTCCACAGCAGCCCTGGCTCTCTGCACTCACTGCCTCCATGCTTGCAGCTGGAGATTGAAGCAAAAGCCAAACACTTCAAAGGAAAAACAAAAGCAAACCACCTGTTCAGGCAGCGAGGAAGCCCAGTGGCCTCCCTGGAGAGGCAAGGCAGGAGCTGGCAAGGACACATGAGCTGATTTTCTCAGGTTTTGCTCCTGCCTTCCACCAGAGCATTTCTGGTGCCTCACATCAGAGCTGTGAGCCAGGGGAGCAGCAGGTCCTGAGCCAGAAATGAAGCAACCTGCTCCAGGCTGCAAAGAGAGGCCAGGAACACAGGAACACAGCTCTGCACATCTCCTGGAGATCCTGCCCCAGCACTGCACCATTCTGGCTTCTCTACATGATCACAAATGACATTTTCCTGATCAAAAGCAAACGAAACCCCTGAGTCCTGCTGGAGCAAGGGAGGATGAGACAAGGCTCAGGCCCAACTTACCTTACCAGTGCATCTGGTTTGCTTAGCTGGTTATTAGGAATACAGTTTTCCATTAAGTCCTTATGTGTGCTCGGGCTCTTGCTGGCACATTTCTGTTTTTTCTCATTTTTGGAGGATGAGGAGGGGATGCTCCCGTTGGTTGCACTGTGGCTGCGGGGTGAGGAGTTCACAACCCCACTGACATTTTTGTAATTTTTGGACGAGGCAGTGCATGAGTCCTCTTTTAAGAGGTTTTCTGTACTTCCTACAAGATCATTATTTAATCTTTTACTATTGATATGGTTTTCCATATATTCAATTTCTTGTATTTTAGAGTCTACAGGTTGCAAAATGTTGTTGTTTATTCCAAGGTTGTGTTTCTTTGCATCCTTGTCCTTTTCTTTCCCTTTTTCTCGATATTCCAGCTCTGGCAACGTTGCAGAGATTTTTTTGTTGGCTGAAATGCCTCCATTGTGCTGCAGGAGTATTGAGGAATCCATATCAGATAATCCTTTGGCTGCTGCAACACCAAAGTGGAAAAAAAACCAACTTTAGTTCATTAAATCCATCAATACTGTGCCACAGAAAGAAAAAATCATTATGGACACATCCATCATTCCTGCAGGAAACAATCAGGATTGGAGGCTCTCTAGAAAAGAGAATCCAAAGTCACCTTTTTTAAGGCTTTTTGCCTCATTCCAGGCAGGAAAGAGGGATTTAAGAATAAATACTACAGCTACACACAGCACTGACTGACCAGACTGATGCTAATGAGGAGCTGAGCACAGGGGCCATCATTCCCTTTCTCTGTCACATCAACCCCTCCAAAGTGATTTCATTTCTGCCCCCCTGAGCTCACCACCCTCCCACCAAACGGAGCCAGGAGCATTTTATGAAAAATCCTTTTGCCAGGATCTTTTCTCCTGAGAAGCTTCAGCTTCTCCATGTTTTGCTGCTTTGGAATGTGATCTGGAGAATTGTTTACCCAGCATGTGAATTGTCTTTACTTGGTGACCAATGGCAGCCACCTGTGTCGAGGCTGTGACAGTCCCAGGATTTTATTATCATTCCTTTCCTTTCCTTGCCAGCCTTCTGATGAAATCCTTTCTTCTATTCTTTTAGTAGGCTTTTAATATATCAGTTTCCTTTAATATAATATATATATAAAATAATAAATCAGCCTTCTGACACATGGAGTCAAGACTCCCCTCTCTCCCCTCACCCTGGGACCCTCAAACCTCCCCAGTGCATCTGGGGTTTATTTTCCCTTGGAGCAGCACAGAACAGAGCACACAAGAAGGGATAACTTGCCTTCCTCTGCCTCCCTCTCTTGCCTTTGCAGCATCTGCTGCTCTGGGGGCAGAGCCTGCTGCAGGAGCTGCATGTAGAACTCATTCTCCTTCTGCACCTCCTTCTGCTTCCTCAGCCGCATCTTGTAGCTGACGTAACTTTTAAAGCCAAAGCCCAAAGTCACAACAGGGTAGCCAATGCTAAGGAGGGGAATAAAAAAAGCAATATTAATCAAATATATACACAATTCATATACACATATTCATGTATGTATGAACAAGGCCCATAGAAACTGATTTATAAAGTGGTTTTTGCTGTTCCACGGGAGCTTTCAGGAAATGCTCGGAATATCCACAGTGCAAATTCCTCCCAGCACAGAAAGGTGGCACTGGGCCCTTGTTTACACACATTTCTCGTGGAATATTTCATGGCAGAATTGTGAGGGGAAAACTGGACAGCCAAGCCCTGAACCCAAATGAAAAGGCCTGCTTATTCATTTTCCTGGTGAAATAAAGGTTGCTAGGGAAAGGACAGAGAAGCACTCACCAGTGTGCTGCAAATGGACGACAAAGGTCCACGTGGAAGTTTTTTAAATCTTTAAATCTAATGGCTGCTTCAATATAAACAAAAAGTATCCACAGTGATACTGTTGGTAAGCACACACCTCTTTCTGTGGAGAGAAGGAAACAGAAACTCAGGGACAGAAAACAGGCAGCAAGGAGCTGAGAGTTATTTTTACATTATTTCAGGAGTCTGAGGAAACAAACTTTAAGATTTTGACAAAAAAAAAGGGAAAAAAAAGAGCAAGTTCCCATCAACTTGGATGAGCACTGAAAATGAGTAATTCCTGGGGTTGCTATGAATTAAAATATTCAATCAACTCAATAGCTACAGCTAAAACTGGCCCATCAGGTTATTCCTTCTAAGCATCAGCCCTGAACACCTTCAGATAAGGCTTGAACATATTAACACAGCTCCAAAACAGCCCCAGATCCTGCAGGTATTTGAAACTGGGCAGCAAGTGGCTCCCAGCCCCTGCACTCAGCTCCCAGCCTGCTGTTATCAGGGCTGACACAACATCTTCCACAAAGCCCCACTCCCAACAATCTGGGCAGTGAAAAGTTACCCCAAATAATAATTTAAATTAAATTTGATTTATTCCTAAAATGTTTTGATTGAGGGAAGGAACTGGAGCACCTCCTCCAGCTCCATTTCCTCATCCAAACCCAGGGATTTGTGAGAACAAACTCAGGGAGAAAAGGGCAGCAGAGGGGGACAAGGATTCTCCATGGAAGCCTCAAACTGTCAGGGCAGCCTCTGGCACCACCAGCTCAGAAACTGGATCCAGCTTTGCTAACACAGAATTAACTCTGCCCACTGAAATAATCAATATTTGAACATTGTTAACTAAATTATCAGCACATCAACTGAGTGTGGAAGAACAGAACACTGCCACAGACTTGTGCTGAGTGCTCTGTAATCATTGAATCACTGCAGGAGAGTTTTAAAGTCAGGAATTTCATTTTCTTTTAACTGCTCTGGAATTCCTGTTCATTCCCCTCCAGTTGCTGCTTACTGGAGATGCACCCCAAGTGCAAAACAAAAAACCAAACTAAAATTTTTAACTCTAAAAAAAAACTGCATTAAGTGAGGCAACAGCAGAGGAATTTTGTTCCTAAAAGATGGGAGATCCTTACTGAGCCCTGGAAGTTGTCAATAGAGAAAAGCTGGAAACAAAGAAGTTATAAATGAGTCAGGAAGTTGTAAATAAAGAATAATGCCCACCTGTGTGCCACACATACTGTACCCACACATAGGTGCTGGCAGCAAAGAACAGCCACTGGATTGGGATGAAGAGCAGACAGATGATGTTGGAGGTGAATGCTACACACACAAAAAATACTGAGAAGGCCTGAAAGAAAGGAGGGAGGGGGAAAAAGAAGAGAGTTTGGTTATTCCAACCCAAATATAGTGTTTTGCATACATTAAAATACATATAATACATTTTACATAAAATATCTAACAGCTATATTTTTATAACTCACCAATATTTCTAATACTACATGTTTAATTTTAATATATAAAATTTTATATATACTAATATAAATATTATATATATATTATATATTTATATAAATATATAAATAACAATATTTATATGGCTATATACATACATTTTTAATATAGACATATATACAGCCCTATATATAGATAGCATATGTCTGTGTGTATATATATATATATATATATACAAAAATATTTTAAAAGTCTATATCAGAGGCTTTTCTTTAAAGTAATACAGAAATTCTTGCCTGTTTACACATATATAGTGTTATATAAATTTCTGATTAATTCAACTCAGCTCAGAAATTTGAACATTATTTCTCCGTGGTGAAATTTGGATAAATCTCTATTTCATTTCCACTGGCCATAGATAAAGTATCCATCAGAGAGAAGCCCTGGTGCTGTGAGGGGGCTCTCAGTGCCACTGTCACTGAGGAAAATGGGAATATTCCTGTGGAGGTTCTGTGCCACTGTCACTGAGGAAAATGGAATATTCTGTGCCACTGTCACTGTGGAAAATGGAATATTCTGTGCCACTGTCACTGTGGAAAATGGAATATTCTGTGCCACTGTGACTGTGGAAAATGGAATATTCTGTGCCACTCACCAAGCCCTGGTATCGGAAGGAATCGTAAACGCTCCTGATGAAGAGCCAGAAGGGCCACAGGTACTCAAACCTGAACTCCAGCACAAAATCTGCCAGCAGCACCAGGGCCCACACCACCAGGAACTTCAGGTACAGGAAGGTGCTGGGGGAAAGAAAAAGGAAATTTCAGGTCAGGATTTCCAACAGACAAACTGACTTTTAATTTTTTTTAATTAAAATATTCCGAATTAAAACTAAGGACAACTGTATTACACAGAAGGAAACGTCAGCCAAAATAACTTTATAAAATAAGTTTAGGTTTGGGTTTTTTATTATCCCATGACAGCAGGCCTGGGCTAACAGAGCTCACACTGAAGTGCATTTATTTTCCCCAATAATCAGCAGGGTCACTGCTCAGCAGCACCCATGTCCCTCTGCATTCTCACACAGATTCTCTCACTCATTCCTGCCACAGGTAACTTCTCCCAGCTGCAATGCTCCTTTTCCAGCCCTCTCCTGCCCCTGGTGCTCAGGAATTTTGTGTTCCCCTCCTCAGCAGGCTGCAGATGTTCCCTCATCTAACACAGACTGCAACACCAATAAACTGAGATGTATTTTAAGCCTACAGCAATTTAAAGACAGTTTGGATACTGAGTTATCGGTGTTAGATTTGAAAACATTTCTATGAAGGCAAATGGATCCCTTAAACACAAACAAACAAACAAAACCCCAGGGAAATGGAAGCACATGAGGCCTGAGACCAGGCTAACTTCTATTTTTAATGATTTCTGAGCCACATTCCCATGTTCTGAGTCTTGCATTTTGAACCACTGATGATCCTTCTTGGCAACAGAGCTTAAAAACACTCTGAGCTCATACCCAAGGAACACTTGAGGCATCAGCCCAATCCATTCTTCCAAAAAAGAAGCAAAACTCCTTTTTCCCCCAAACCCACCACCCCTGATACCTTGCTGCACTCTATTAGGTTACAACAACAACAACAACAAAAAAGGGGGGGGTTAAAATATTTTTTCTCACTTAAATCAAATGCAAATTGTCCTTTTAGTAACTTGTTTTCCCTCCTCTGCCACCCTGCCAGCACAACCAGCAGAACTTTGCCCTGGAATGTTCAGAGGGAGGTGCCAAGGGCTGGCACCTGTGCCAGGCAGGGTCGAGTTTCTGCCCTGCTCGGGGCTTTTTTAGGAACTGGCTCAGAGCTTTGGGGAAGAGACAAAAGCCCAAATTTCCAGGGAAAGAGCTGGGTACCAGCAGAGGTTGGGAAATGACCGAACTTGTGCAATTCTCACCCAAGTTCAGGTGCAATGCACGGGGCTGGGAACATTGCTGGGTTTCTTGGGAGTCAGAGGTGGATGGCAGGTGCCTGAGAGTGCCCTTATCAACTGAACTGGCTGGGAAAAAATACAGCAAAAGGCTCCAGGAAGCACTTCAGTGGAATGGAAACAAAATGAATGGCACACACTTGGAAAGTTCAGGAAGGGCTTTCAGTTGTGAGGGACCCAGCCCCAGTCACAAATCACTGTTAGAGAAGAATGGAACTGCAGTGAGTACTGCAAAACCCCTCCAACCCAACAAATATCCCACAGCAAACCCCTCCAATGGCCACACGGTCCTGGTGCTCCCCCAGGCTGCCTTTCCCTGCCTGTTCACAGTTCAGAGCCTCACCAGGAATCTGTAAAAAGCAGCTGCATTCAGGGAATATTCGATACTAAAGGTGACATTTGGGTCCAGATCTGAGGAATTCCATAAAAGCACCACAGCCAGGAATTCCCTGCTCAGTTCAGTTGTGCTGTGGAGCCTTTTCCTGGGTTACTCTCGTGGCTTTTGTTTATTTTCCTGCCACTGGAAGGCAGAGGAGACCCCATTTTCCCCAGCCAACGAGGGCTGTCAGGACTAATGCTGCTCAAGCCTGAAGTGCCACTCCAAGAGAAAGCATTTGCTGAACAAGAGTTCTGTACCACAGCCATTAAAGTGATTTCTGATATTAAATTCATATCAATCCAAGGGCCCCGCTGACACTTAGCACCTTCTAAAGTGGAATTGGAACAATGCAACACTTGTAAGGAGGCTTTGCCAGCAGCATTAAAGAGCCTATTCCTCATTGTCTGAAGGGCTCCAAAGCCACTCAGAATTCCAGCAGTTCAGGAGAGTCTCAAAGCCTCAGTCCTTGGGCTGGCCCCAGCAGGGAAGGGGCCCAAACCTCAGATCCTGCTGCCCCTGAGGTGCTGCACAGCCAGGTTTGTGTTCAGGCCAGCCCCAGCCCGGCTGAAACACATCCCCAGGAATTAAATCCCCCAGAAAACCTGTTTATTGAACAGGCTCGAGTGTATTCCACAAGGCAAACTGGAATTCTGAGGTGGATCCCAGTACAGGGAAGATTCTTGCAGATAAATCCCTAAAATCTGGGTTATCCCATTTCCTGACACATGTCAGAAAATCTGCCCTGGGTGCCCTGGCAGAGGTTTAGGGCACAGCATATGGAGGGTGAGAAAGGAGGAAGGAAGGATGGACACATCCACGCCAGGAGAGGGCACAGGGCAGGGAGGAGCAGGGATTCCAGAGCTGCAGTTTCTCTGAAAGGTCAATTGATGGCTAATGTACACTGAATAGAAAGATTTATTCATAACCCTGCCGTGCCTCTGCTCCCCCTTTGAATTTGCAAATAAATAATTTTCCTCCTTATTCTTCCTCCCCCTGCCAGTGCCAGATGCCATTTCCTCCCCCCCCTTTTTCTTTTTCCCTCTCTTGTTCTTTGTTCTCCTTTTACTGCCCTGCAGGAGCAGATCCTCTGCCAGCTGTAAGGTAAAAACACAGCCAAAAATCCCTAGAAAAAGATCCAATCCTGCACCCCAAACCCAAACTGGGGGTGGATTAAGCCTTAATTCCATCCCACCATTATCAGCAAGGCCCCAAGGCTGGAAAGGCAATCCTGGCTTGTTCCAGCCTGACTCATCCAAGACAATGGAGTGGGAGGCATCCCCAGCCTGGCAGGGAGCCAAGGGCACAGGTGAGCTTTAAAAAGGTGAATTTGAGCATTTGGGTGAAATCACCAAATAATCCACGACCCCCCCAGCGCAGGGTTAGGCAGCAGCCACAACAGCAGGCATGCTGAGTGGAGATCAGCAAATATCAAAGCTTTATCTAAAGAAACACACAAACAGATAGCTAAGATTATTATCAGTGGGCAGGAGAAGGGAAACACAGCGAGTCTGAGAGGCAGAAAACATCACTGCTGGCACTGACCACGTCAAACACCTGCCAGCTACAGGTCTGGAAAGGAACAGAAACGTGAGGAAGGCCAGGAAAGCTCCCTGAGCCCTGGCAGGGCACAGAGGGCACCCAGCCCTGAGCTGGGCAGCAGGAAAGGGAAACAAATCCCTGCAGGGGCACACAGTCAGCACCCAGCACTGTGGGGCTGGGACAGCAGCACTGCCAGCTCTGGGCTCAGCTGTGAACCCCAAATTTCCAAAATGCAGCCACAGGAGCCCCTTCAGCTGCAGGGAGCGAGAGCCAGGGCACAGCAGAGCACAGTAAATGTAGGATAAATGACACTGGAGCCCTGCACTGGAGTTCAAGTCATAAAAGGCAGCTCTGCTGCTTTGTTCCAGACCTCCAGAAAATGCTTCACCCTCTATAGGAAGCTGGTAAAATAAATGAGCAGGGGGAATGATTATGGATTTTCAAGAAAGGCCTAAAAAAGGCCACATTCCTGGAGGTAGTGCTGATGTTTTCCTTCCAGCTTCTTTGGCTGTCAGAAACGCAGCCCTTGGAATTCAGCCCTGTCAGGATTTGGGTGGCAGGGGGACCCAGGAGCATTTATGGGGCCGTGGCACCCAGGGACCCTGTCCTGTGCCACCAGGGCCACCTGGAGACGAGCCAGCCTCCCCTGCCAGGCACCCACCTGGCTGCCAGCCCACGGAGTGCCTGCCACAAAGGGCAATTTACATCCCAGCTAAAAAAAAACCCTGCTCTGAAGGAACGTGGAGTATTTCAGGACCATTGTCAGGGAATCCACGAGACAGCATCCATCAGCTGGTGTGACAGCACAACTTCAAGCAGGGAGGTGTGGAATTCATCTTGAAACTTGCCCAGCCAGGAAAGGGGGACCAAGCAGAACCACAGCAAGCAATAGCAGCAGTGCAGGTGGAGGATTTTAGCCAGATCAAAGATGGGGACTGGGGAGACTTAGGAACAAGCAGGAACAAATAAACTTTAATTGCTTAACTGATGACAAGCTGCAATGAATACTTGAATTAACAATTAGGGGGTTAATGCATGCACACTGCCAAAGGTAGGAGATGTTAAATCACTTCAGCATTTTTAAACTGCTGCCATTGTTTTACACAGGAGAAGGCAGAATTTGGAACATAATGTGTGGAAATAAGAGACCCTCCAATTCCTACCATGACTGTGGTGGGTTTGGAGGTTAGTTGAGAGCAGTTATTTTAAATTATACTAGAGCTCTTTCCACAGATCCTGCAACACTTCTAAAGAGCATAAGTCACTGCAAAAGTCAGCATTCACAGATCATCCACACCTTTCAGTGCAGCCCAGGATTTTATATTTCTAACTCTGCTCTGTTTTTCTATCACTTCTCATAATCTGCCTCAGTGTTACACGTGCAATGAACTCTGCCACCAGAGCTTCCCTGCAGGACAATTCCTTCCTTCCCTGCTCCAAAACTCCTCATTTTCCCAGCCCTCACTCACAGTGACAGCTCTGCCATGCTCACATGCCAAGCTGGACAGGAGGCTTAATTTAAAATCAGGCTTAATTTAAAAACCCAACAAAACAAAGAGTTAAGTATCCCAATGCTGCTGTTTGCTCAGCCTGGCTGCTCTGCCCATAAACCCAGGATGCTTCCTCCTGATAACTGCATTTACTGGGTCTGTGTAAGCTGATGGGGACAATTAAGATAAGCTGAATAAATAAGTGCAGTAATTACAAGAATTTAGACAACTGTAGTTCTGTGAGAAGTTACCTGTATGTGACCACTGAATTATGGAGACAGAAAAAATATTTTAAAAAAAGAGAAAGGTCCCAGATCCGTGTAGAAGAACCTCCCTCTGCTTAGAAGGGAAAAGCCTTGTCACTATTTCTCCTTTTCTGTATGACAACACTCTGAGCACACTGCTTGTTTCTGTTTAGCAAAATGCCACATGAAACAAAGGCTAAGGATCCATTCCTGAACCAAAGCATCCCAGGAGAAGCAAAGGCAGAGGCGCCTCAGCTGCTCAGAGACTCCAGCAGCTCTCCCTGCTGCACACCCAGCTCCTGGAGCTCCTCTGAGCTTTCCCTGATTCCCTCTCCTTTTCTCAACCCCACCTTCCCTCCAGTAACCTCAAAAGCAAAGCATTTGGAATGACTTTTGAAATCCAGTTATAAGCAATTCCTTGTATATTTGAATTATTCTTCACCTTGAATAATCATTTCTACACAAGGGATGCTTTTCTTTACCATTCCAGTCAGGGTTTTCCCAAAACCTGAAAGTCTGAAGCAAGAAGCTCTCTACTCTCACAGATCCACTACAAGTGGGATAAGCAGCACACTGGGACAATTTTATTCCTGTCACAGCTCCCCAGCAGCTGCTTCCCTCATGCAAAGTTAACATCTGAATTGTATGAGCTCGCTCAGGTTTCCAGGCACTGCATTCATCAACCCCACTGAACTAGAAACAGAAATGGGACAGCAGCACATTTACTACAGCTCTCACCAGCTCCCGAGCCTCTCCTGACCCAAACTCCTGCTGACTGAGAAATGCACAATTCCTGCACGCCACAAAAACCTGCCACACTCGGGAGAGCAGAGCTGGAATCACTCCTTACACAGGCACCCACCAGCCCTGGGACACACACTTGTGAGCACCTGGAAAACACCAGTTTAGAACGGGAGCATCACATCCCTAGGACACAAACCAGCCCTGGGAGCACCTGGAAAAAACACAACCCACGTGCATCTCCCTTGAGCGCTGCCTGGCTCCGCGCCGCCGGGGTCAGGGCTGAGCCGGGCACCTGCCGTGTCCCCAGCACACCGGGCTGGGTCCACACCGGGCCATCCACCCCTGCTCCGGCAATTCCCAGCCAGCCTCCTGCTCCCGTGGCTCTTAGGGCTTCCCCACCAGCACGGCAAGAACAACTCTGAGACCCCGAGTGAGCAGCCGGGCCGGGCAGTTCGGCACCGCTGCGAGCCTGAGCCTGGGAATGCCCAGCCGGGAAAGCCTCCCCGGGCAGACCCAGCTGAGGCGGCAGCGGCAGCTCGGAGCTCCGGCAGTGCCCAGCTGTGAGACGCGGCCAGGAAACCCTCCCCAGGCGAGGCTCGGAGCTCCGGCACCACCGGGACCCCGCCGGGGAACCCTCCCCAGGCGAGGCTCGGAGCTCCGGCACCGCCGGGGGTGACCCAGGGCGAAGGCCCCAGCGCTGGGCGCGCACCCCAGGGCCGGCTCCGGCCGCTCCCTCCCGGCAGCACCGGCAGCACCTTGGCCAGCAGCAGCCCCGGCCCCGCGGAGCCCCGGAGGGCCCGGGGCGGGGCAGCGCCTGAGGGGCGCCGGGGCGCCATGACGGTGACAGGGCCGGGGGGCGGCCGGGGGGCCCGGGGCCGCGAACCGCCCGCTCCCGGCGCCGCGGCGGCCGCTCGGTACCTGCCGTAGATGCCCTCGGTGATGCGGTTCCGCTTGAGCGGCCGCCGCAGTTTGCTGCAGTCCGCGCTCCGCCGCTTCATCCCGCCGGCCCGGCCCGGCCCGGCCCGCCCCGCTCACGGCAGCACCATCCGCCCCCGCGGGGGGTTCCCGAGCGCGGGGCTTTTTTTGGGGTTTATTTTCTTTTTTTCCCTTTTTTTCCTTTTTTTTTCCCCGGGAAACAAAGAAATAAAAATAATTCCTGGTCCGTCCCTCCCCGCCGTGTCCCCCCGCGCAGCCGCCGCGCAGCGCCCCGCCTCCCCGGCGATCGCCAATCAAACGGTTGATCCCACCTGAGTGACAGCATGTCTGACCAATCAGCAGCGAGGAAAGGCAGAAAGACGGTAGAACGGACCAATCGCAGTGTCAGAAAGTTGAACCCGCCTCGTGCTGTCGCGTGGCACGCCCACCACTGTGAATGACGGCCCTACAACCCAGTCAGAGAGGATTATTTGTGATTGATGGCCTATCAACCAATCAGGATGCAGATTCTGGTCTCCTCCTGCCTACTGTGCTGCGGGCTGGTTCCCGCCCCTTGCGGTGACCGACAGCAAAATTGTCCAATGGAGGAGAAACAGAGAAATAAAAGGACAGCTCAGCCATCCACTCGGAAACGGAAGAAGGAGGGCCCTATTTCCTCTGTCACCGTAGCACCGAGGTGCCACCTCTCCCACTTGATTGACAGCCTCGCTGGCAAATGGGCAGTTGGGGAAGGGGACACCCCGTCTCAGGTGCAGAGCCAGGCAGTGACAGTTTGTGACGCCCGGTGCCTCCCCCACAGGGCGGCCTGCACTGCCGCTCACCGGAGAGCAAAATAACCCCCAACCTGACAGACAGGCCGCGCCAGCCAATAAATAGCGCTCCTATCTGAGTGACAAGACACGCGACCAATCACAATACAGGACGCGCGGCCCAAAGACGGCCGGTGCTTGAGATAAGCCAATCAGAGGCCAGGAGGAGCTGCGCTCGGCCAATGGAAGGGCAGTCCCTAAGGGCGGCCTGTGGGGGAGGGGGCGGGCATTCAGTGAGGGGCGGGGCCGGGCGGGTCCCGCCGGCGCTGCCGCCGCCGGGGGCTGCCGAGTCACGGCCCGGCCCGGTGTTTTCCTTGTGGTGGAGTTATACTTTACAATTGGAGCATCACGGATTTTTTTGGGCTGGAAGAGACCTTGAAGATCGCCTCATTCCATCCCCTGCCGTGCCAGGGACACCTTCCACTGTCCCAGGCTGCTCCAAGCCCTGTCCAACTTGGCTTTGGGCACTGCCAGGGATCCAGGGGCAGCCAGAGCTGCTCTGGGCACCTGTGCCAGGGCCTCATCACCCTCGTGGGGAAGAACTTTTCCCTAATAAAAGTTACTTTGTGCTTCACCCTGTCAAAGATCACCAAGCTTTGGTCCCAGTTTGGAAACATAAGCTGTGAATCCGAGCATCACCTGTCTAATGTGCCATCCTGAGGGAAAACAGGTGAAGTCCTCCCCTTTGGAGTGTTCTCCCTGGATGTTATCACCGATGGGACTTAGTAGCACGTAGCAAAAAGCCTCATTGTGCCAGCTAAATTAACTCCTAAACTGCTGCTTGAGCTGTTGCCCTGTTTGGAAAAAGTTCAACAGGTTTGGCTCTGTGTGGATTACCCGTGGGTTCATGGGATTGCAAGAAAAAGGACCTGGATGTGCCCATGGCTGTGCCCATGGCTGTGCCCGTGGCTGTGGCTGTGACCACAGCTCTGGCTCTGGCTGTGGCTGTGTCCACAGACACTCTGAGCTCAGCCCATGTGAGCCGGACTCCGTTTGGCTCCTGCCACAGCCCAGATAAGGAGCTGCTCCCTGCTCACGCCTCTCAGCCCTTTTATCTCTCACTGAGCTCCCATTGCTGGCCTCCACAGCTCCTCTGCTGCTGGTGTGAGGGCGCAGGGACAGTCCCACAGGGCACAGGGACAGTCCCACAGGGCGCAGGGACCAGAGGAATCTCTCCTGAGCTGCTGCTCCATGTAGTGCACGATGCCTTCCCGCTACCTCAGCTTCCGCTGCAGCGTGCCCTGGCTGATCCTTCTGCTGCAGGCTCTGCTTCTCCTCCGCTCCTTCTTTGGCTTCCCAGGTGTCAGTGACACCTACTCCTTATCCAACTCCTACCCAGGTAAGCCTGGCACCCCCCTGGGGAACAGGGGGCACCCCTGTGCCCTGCACAGAAGGGTCTGCTGGTGAGGAGCAGAATGGTTTTATTGCTCTTTGAACTTGCCAGGAGTGCTGGGAGTTTCTTTATGTCACAGGTGTGGTGGGGATCCAAGACTAAATTGTAATTTTGGTCAGTTTTCTGTTGGGGTTTTCACCTCTCGGCCCCCATCCTGATCCATTTACACATGCTGATCCGTTCAGATCAGTGTGTAAAAATAAATTCAGCATTGAGGGTATTTTTTCTCTGATTATACATGGGGAAGAAAGTTTTGGAATTCTTTGCAAGCTCTAAACAATAGTGGCACCTAAATTCTTATCTGAAGGCTTCTTAGTTCATTGTAATTTTTAATTTTTTTTTTTTTTTAAACCAGAAATCTGTATTAATAATTTCACCACTGTCTTGTTCTTTTCTGTCTTGCAGAATTCCAAGATGTCAACCACATGGTGATTTTTGGATTTGGCTTCTTCCTGATGGTTCTGAGAAGATATGGCTTTAGCAGCACCGGGTTCAACTTCCTGCTTGTTGTTCTTGGTGTCCAGTGCTCTGTGCTGGCAGAAGATTTATTAGTTTTCTTTAGGGGAGAGCAAAATGAACTTGGTTTGGAAAGGTGATGAGTTCATGTTAGAGCTGGGCTGGTGCAGAACTGCTGATTGCTCCCTGTGGGGCCCTGGTAGGGATGGGCAGAGTCACATTTGCAGGCATTTTAGAGGGCTTTTGGTTTTTGAGTGCATTGCTCTGTGTAATTCCTTTTTATTGGCCCTGGTGTCACCCTGAGACTGAGCTGTTGTTCTTTCCTCTCTTTCTTGCAGTCTAGCGAGGGCTTTTGTGAGTGTGACTGCTGTGGTCATCTCCACTGGGGCTGTGCTGGGCAGGGCCAATCCTGTGCAGTTAATTGTGATGACCCTGGTGGAATTAACCTTCTTCTCCGTGAGCAGATACATCAACGAGACATTCCTGGAGGTACCCTGGTGGGATTTGCAGAAACGTGGGGGGAAATGTCGCTGGGGCTTTGGAGCAAAGGCTCTGTGTGCCTGGCTCAGCCCACGATAAGCTGTGCATGTTGTGTTGGGGCAGGTCCCAGAGCACCTCACTGGGCTGCACGTGTACCTCTTTGGAGCCTACTTTGGCCTGGCACTGGCCTCCTGCTTCCCTGAGCCTCCCCCAGGGCTGGACAAGAACAGGAGCACCCCGAAGTCAGAGCTGTTCTCAGTGCTGGGTGAGTCCTGCCTGCCATGCCCCAGCTGCACGAGGGTGGGCTTGGGGGTTTAAATGCAAAATGCAGCCAAGCACAGGAACTGCTGCTGCTTGTGACAGTGGCCCCTTTCCTGCCTGGCCCAGAGGCCACTCCTGCCACAGCTGGGGCTCAGTTTGCTTTGTCACCTCAGCATAAAGGCTGCTCCAGCTCTTTCTCCAGGTTCAGCACTCCCTTTCCTGGCCAGGTTGTCCCCTTGGCTTGTGGTGAGGGGCTGTGTGCCAGAGCTGAGCTCATAACTTGTGTTTCAGCAGGGCTCAGGCTGTTGGTCCAGGTGGTGCACAGAGATAGAAAAGGGCAGTCCCTGCTGGTAAGGGAAATAAGGAGATAAAGCCTGGTGAAGGGTGGGGAGTGTGATACAGGCAGGCCCAGCAGAGAGGAGCTGGGGAGGGACAGGCTCAGTGCCTGGGACTTTCATTCCTTTTCTTAGGGGAGCAATTTGGTGTCTTCATTATCACAGTAGTGCAACTGCCACCAGCTGAGCCCAGAGCTTCCTGCAGGGGTCCACAGAGTCTCATTCTCAGTCAGTTTTTGCTCAGTTTGGGGAATACAAAATTTAAATGCTGCTCTTTTGTGTCCCTTGGGTTCTTCTTTGCTGTTTATTTCCAGAGCTGAGCAGATCCTCATGAGAATGCTGCAGAGGATTTTGTATCTGTATTTATGACTGACTGACTGCCTGATCAATGGGAATAGGATGAATCATCTCACAAGCCCTCAGTGCCACCTTAAGTTTAGAGTTGCTGAAAGGGCCTCTCCTGTCTGAGGCAGGGTTATCTGTGCCTTGGTGCACTGAAATCATGGATAGTAGCAATGGAAACTGGATGTGTGCCTCATAGTGACAATGCCTGTGTCACCTGTTAGGGGTCTTGGACAAGAGCACATCAAATGTCACTGTCAGGGGCATTGCACCAGGGTCTGGCACCTCTGAGGGGTGGGGAACACAGCATCGGTGATGGGAACAAAGCACAGCAGTGGGAATGCCAAAGGAGCTGAGCTTGTGTTTGTGCTGGAGTCTGTGCACAGCCAGGGCCACAGGGCCGGCTGGGACCAGCCCGAGGTGCTCTGAGGTCCCTGTGTCCGTCTGTCCCTGTGTCCGTCTGTCCCTCTGCCGGCTGGAATCGGGTGTGTGCAGCGCTGCCCCAGGCAGGTGAGGAGCGGCGCCTCCTGCCAGGCAGGGCCCTTGCTCCAGGAGCCTGGGCTGCCCAAACGCTGCCCATGAGGAGCAGAAGGAGCTGTTTGCATTCCTGCCAGAGGAGGTGTGACACTGCCAGCTCCTCCGGGAGCGACCTTAGAGCAGCTCTGCTTGGGAAAGGTTTGGGAATTACGGTGGATGCACACACTGTGGGCTGGAGCCCTCCAGAGACAGGCAGTGGTGGTGCCCTGTGCTTCAGAGCAGCTCTGAGGGTCTCTTTCCTTGTCCCCAAGGCACGGTGTTTGTCTGGGTGTTCTGGCCGAGCTTCAATTCTATCCTGCCTTCCTTCAAGATGCAAGCAGTGCTCAACACTTACTTGGCCCTCGCAGTGAGTGCTGTGGCTGCCTTCATGTTGTCTGCTCTGACCTCCAAGGATGGCAAATTCAGAATGGTAAGGATGAGGGAAAACCCTGCCTGGGGTTTTTCTCTTCAGAGAGATTTTGTGGTACTCTCAGGAGGTGAAACCTTGTCCAGGGTCTGACAGTCACAGACTCACTGAGGGGTTTGGATGGGAAGGGGCATCAAAGATCACCTCATCCCACCCCTGCCATGGCAGGGACACCTCCCACTGTCCCAGGCTGCTCCCAGCCCTGCCCAGCCTGGCCTTGGGCACTGCCAGGGATCCAGGGGCAGCCCCAGCTGCTCTGGGCACCTGTGCCAGGGCCTGCCCACCCTGCCAGGGAACAACTCCCTCCCAACATTGCATCTGCACCTTCCCCTTTCAGTGCAGAGGCACTGCCCCCTGTTGTATCCCTGCCAGCCCTCTAAGGAGTCGCTGTGGTTGCTCTCCCAGGCTCAGATCCGCAGTGCAGTGCTGGCTGGAGGGGTCACTGTCAGCTACACCGCCGAGCGCATCCACCAGCCCTGGATTGCCATGCTGCTGGGGCTGCTGGCCAGTGCCACTGCCATCCTGGGGTCCCACTGTGTCCAGGTAAGGCTCAGTCCCCTGAATGCTTCTTGGATAAGCTGTGCCAGGCTTTTTTTGCAGTGCAGGATACCCCAAGGGAAGCCTCTTTTCCAAACTAGGAAACCTGAGGTGTTTTGAGCAGAGTGCAGCATTGCAGCTCCTGAGAGCAAATTCATCCTCTGGGTCTGCAACAGCTGATCTGCAATTACCAACTTGTGTTTCTGGGTGTAATTAAACCTTTTTCTTCTTCCCAGAGGTGCTTTAATCCTGCCTTGAAGCTTCAGGATACTTCTGGAGTTCATTTCACTTTTGGTTTGCCTGCTGTGCTTGGAGCTGTGGCCGCTGTTGTTCTCAGAGTTGTGGAAGATGGGATTGACACACGATGGAATGAATTATCCAGGTACATAAATTCCTGTATTAAATAATGAAGATAAATCATCCTCACTGCAGTGTGCCCTGAGAAGAGTTGGACATCCAGAGAGCCTGAATGTCATCACAGATACATTGTTTTATATCAGGTAACCCCTGATAACCCTGAAGTCGAAAAACAAAACCAAAAGAAAGTCATTAAAAAGGAATTGGAGATTTGAGCAGACTTTAGGTCCTGTTTTCTGTCTCCCTTTTTGCTTATGTTAAATACAGCAGACACAGGAGATGAAGGCTGGGCATGTGCCTCCCTGCAAGGCTCACTTGAGGGTTTGGGATGTTTTGAGGAGCTCAGGAGGGAGGGAGAAATGAGGGCCTGGCACTTCTCATCATGTTCTTAATGAAACATTTAAAGAAGTTTTAATACCAAAAGGATGGACAAAACAAATCTTCTGAAGTCTGCATTAGGCTTTGGTATGTTCCTAAAACATCTCACTGCAGCTGCAGATTTGAGAATTACAGCTTCTGTGAGAGATTTTGATAGCTGCAGATTCATCCACACTGGTAATGTTAAATAAAAGGTGAAACACATTTTTTGCTTTTCAGACTGGGTTATGATGCCTTTGTTTATATTGGTGCCTTCTGCCAGACCATCTGCACTGCCTTGATAACAGGACTGATTACAGGTCAGTACTGAAACATCCCAGGATCCCTTCATTTCCTTGGAGCAGCTCTGGGTGAGTCATCTGTGGGACAAGTGAGTGCCAGGGGCTCTCCCCAGCCAGAGCTGTTTTGCACAGAAATAACCCAGCAGCACCATTCTTTCAGTGCTGAAATTCTATTTTAACCAAGGTTTAACAGCTGCCTTCAACTGCAGACAGGAGAGGTGAGAAGATGAAAATACTTCCCCTTTTGGGTCTTGTCTTATTGACAGAAGATGCCCCAATCTGGGGCTTGTCACTTTTTAGGCCATTTGGAGCAAATGTGCAAAGTTTCAACAACATCAGGAGCTGCCTCAGCCCAGCTGCAGCCCTTTGATCAACCTTGATTTGGGATTTTTGGGACTTTTTGCTGCTTTGGGAGCAGCAGCCCTCACGTGGCTCCCATGGGATGCTCTGGTTTGTGGCAGCTGCTGCTTTTCCCCAGCCCCTCAGGGCAACAGAGAAATGGCCAGTGAAAATTGCTGGGAAACACAACCTACAGTGATTTTGGGCTGTTTTAATTTATTTAAACCTCACACCCTACAGTGACTTTGGAGTGTTTTAATTTATTTAAACCTCACACCCTACAGTGACTTTGGAGTGTTTTAATTTATTTAAACCTCACACCCTACAGTGATTTTTGGAGTGTTTTAATTTATTTAAACCTTTGCATTACTTTAAGTGTAATGAAGAAGGAGCAGATCTTTAGAAAACATCCAGCTGAAATAACCAAATGTTCAGTGTTTATCCAACTGTTCAAAAATCCAGAGGTTCCCACCAGAGATCCCAAAACAGCAGTGCTGATAAGGCAGATTGTGTTTAATACACAGGCACTCCTCATGCTAGAAACTCATCATCATTTTGATGTATTTTCATAATCTAGCAGCTGTTTAACGGGTCTTTACCTAAAGCAATTCATTTTTAGTGTCCCTTGATCCTGGCAAGCCTCTTTTTGTATTTAAGGCCAGCTTGAGTCAGGGGGGCTCTGCTGGAGGATTTAGGATCTGAATTTGTGTTTTGATTTGTTACATTGGGATAAATGTTGCCAAGAAACTCCTGTTCCACACAATCCTCCCCTTGCCCTGCTGTTTGTGTTTATTTTGGATCTCTCTCTTTTTACCCAACAGGTTTGATCCTAAACATCAAACTGCTGAAAGCTGTGCATGTCTCCAAGTACTTTGATGACCAGTTTTACTGGGAGGTGAGTTTCAAAATGATTTCAGATTCTCTCTGGGGGAGTTCATTCAGCACCTTGATGAAGAACTCCAGGTATTTGAATTAAAAATATGGGGAATAAAGAGTTATTCCTTTTCCCAGCACATTTTGATGCACAAACAGTCCTTGGGCACCCTTAGGTGCTGATGTGAGGCTGTATCTGAATTACAGGATTAACAAATGGGTGAAAATAAGCTTTTAATCAGCTCTTCCATTGGTCTTGGGGGTTTTCCTGTGATGATTTGATATGTTCTGATACAAGAATGTTTGTGTTCACAGTTTCCCCACTTGTCTGTTGGATTTTGAGTGGAGGATCCCAGCTGACAGACAGGACCAAGATAAGATTTTCCTCTTTATCACCAGAAAAACTGAACAGCTGTGATGGGTTCAAAGAGCACTGAAATACCAATTCTCAGGCCCACAGAAACCACCCCAATGGACACTCAAAAATGCAACTGTTCCAGTTATTCTTGAAAGATACAGAGTGTGAATTCACAGATGCAAACTTCAGGTGCATTCAGCTTTTCTGCTTTGTTGGCCTTACCTTAAAACATTTTTGTAAGATATGCATTCATGGCTTCTCAATCCAATTGCTTGGAACCATTAAACTATTTTTAACTCCCGAGTTTACCAGGCAGAATGATGGATTTGGAAGTGTCATTTCTCAAGGAGCACTTCTTACCTAGCAAAGCACTCAAGTCTTTGAGCTGAATTGATTCTGCTGAAGGCCTTGACAAGCCAGGATTGGATGAGTGAGCTGGAGCAGGGCCAGAACTCCTGGAAGAACCTGGATAGTGGGAGGTTCTGCTGGCCAAATTCAGCTGTGGGTGGTGTTCCTGAAAGCCCTGGGTGTAAAACACAGGCAGAGCTCAGAGCAGCTCGGGGGGACAGCACAGGGCAGGGGTCTCAGTGCTGCCAGCACTGGAGAGCAGGACTGTGGGGACAGGGCATCCTCTGCCAGCCAACCCTGCTTTGAAGTGCACTGGTGATTTAAGTGGATCCTCAGTGGTTCTTTCTCTCAGAAATAGCTGGTGTAGAAGATCTTTGAGCAGTGCTTACCTAATAAAGAGTGAAAATGAACCGTGGCTGTTTCCCTTCCTGCAGCAGCCTGGGAGCAGTGAGGGAGGGAGCTGGTGACAGGGGCTGAGCCCTTTGCTGGGGCTCCCTGCCTCACCCACTCCCTGCTGCCTCAGCAGGTCCCTGCAGCTCCCAGGGAATGCTCCCAGGTCTCCTTGTTCCCAGCTCCCAAAGGGCCAGCAGGAGTTCAGCAGCTGCCCAAAGCTTCTACACACAGCTGGGAGCTGGTACTTCCCAGCCAGCTCCTCTTTATCACCACAGGATAAAGGGAACACTCAGGGATGGAGGGGAAAGAAAAATCCCAAAGCACCGCAGTTCTGAATGACACAAGAAAAGCCACACACCAGAAAGTTTTGAAATGGAAGAAATGGTTATATTGCCCAGATATAGGAAATATTTAATAAATATCTGTTAAAAGGTTGTTTAAATGCATTTTTAATAAGTCTAGGAGTGTAAATAACATCATAGAAAGAGCTGGTTAAATACATCCATATTCCACTCTCCTTTTATTTGTAACAAACATCATTTTAGAAAAGTGACTCCACTGTTGTTTGTAGGAATTTTACATTTCTCAAAAACACCACAACACTGAAGTGGACGTACAAGAGTAAAAAAAATAACCAGAGTAGAGCTGGATTTAGTGCTTTCAGCTTTCCTTGATTTCTCCTCAGCCACGATGGAAGGTTTACAAAATGGTTTTACAAAACTTTGGGGGTGCAGGTAAAGCCCAGGGCACTCCAGGGGCTTCATTGCCACAGATCCTCTGTGCGCCCAAACTTGAACACCAGGCCCCTGTGGGAACACAAAGGGACACCACAAATCCAGCCCCTCCTGTTTAAAACACAAGGATTCAAGGGGGATTTGCTAATGCAGCTCCTGTGCAGGCACATCCCAGTTTATTCACACAGGTGTGCTTACAAAACAGGACTTGAGCACCAACCAGGTCACAGCAACTTTCAGGGTTTTATCATTAAAATTAAATGGGAAACAAATAAAAGAGGTCAGTCTTACCCAAAAAAGATGAATGCATTCTGGAAAAACACTGCTATTCCTGGATACACCACTGGTTTTTCTAAGAGGAAAAAAAAAAAATCTCCATAAATTTTTTTGAAGTAATTTTCAGGCATATCCCAATTCTGACATGTCATTTCCCTTGGGCTGATTCAGCAGAGAGGCTTTGGGAGCAATCTGCAGGAGCTCACTCAGTAATTTGTATTCTGGGAATAAGCCTTCACCCAGGGAATGATTCCCTTAAAACTGCAGCACTTTAATTATATCCATGGAGCTCCCAGCTGGGTTTGTAGAGGAAGTTTGTACTTAGATCAAATCCATCCCAATATCAGTAAAAATATGGGAAAGGGGAGTGTAGGGCAAGATATTCAAACTGGGCCTGCCTAGAAACCCTCTGAACACCAGTTCTAAAAATCCAGAAATCATTTAAAACACCTTAAACTCCCCAAACCAGGCTCAGCTCTTACCTTTAACCACGTAGCCCCCAAAGAGGATCCACATGGAGGCAATGAGGGAGCCAAAAGCCATCATGAAGCCAATGAAGAGCCAGATGCGAGCCCCTGCAAGGGGATGGGGATGTGCTGTTATATATAATGTATTGTACAAATTACATCACAAAATATATATAATATAAATATAAATTATAAATTTATAAATTATAAAGCAATTTTATTAATTTATAAATTATAAAGCAATTTTATAAATTATTTTCTATATTACATTTTAAAATGCTATATTAAAACTATACTGGAAAATACCAAAAAATATACAAACAAAAAGATAGAGGATATTAACAAAAACTCGTGGCTCTCTTTCCAGTCTGACACAGCTTAGCCCCTGATTAATAAAAACAGTATAATAAATAATAAATATATAATAATATATATTATACATATAATATATATAATAAATATATAATCATGTATAATCAATATAACCCCTGATAAATAAAAACTATTTACAATAAAACAATCACCTGTTAAATAAACAATCTCCAAAACAACAAAACACAAGAAAACCAAATAAGATAATTATTGTTTTCATTTTTCTCTGAAGCTTCTCAGCTTCCCAGAAAAAAAAAATCCCCCCAAAAATAAATTTTTTTTTTTCAGAAAATATAAAATGAACAGAATGAACAGGGACCCCCAGCCCTGGTACCTGTCTGGCCCAGGCAGCCCTCGCTGTAGCTGTCCCCCCGCACCTGCCCGTTGGACACGGCGTTGATCCTGGGCAAAAGGGGACAAAAGTGACATTAAAAATCTCCCTGTCACTCTCACTGCCCTGCTGGGGTGGGGCCTTGTGTGCAAAGTGCACATCACGAGGCTGTCACCCTGATTTTTGGAGATTTTCTAAGCCTTCTGATGTTTACAGTCTTGGGATGAACTTTCTCACACGCTTTATGTAAATAATTTATTGGTTTGCATTCTTTCACAGAGAAGGAGAAATTTGATGGACTGTTGGTTTGTCCAGTGTCATTGGAGAAAATAATTTATAAATATAATTTATAAATAATTTATAAATACGCTTTAAAAATTATTAAATATACTATTTAAATATACTATTAAAATAATTTATAAATATACTATTTTATGACTTTTAAAGTTTTACAACTTTTTCACGCTCACATGAGGAATGCAATGGTGGCTATCACCCCACAGGCGTGGTAGGAATGGTTGAAGTCTTCCACCTGAGGGTATTTCACAGCAGCATCGATGATGATCCACCAGCCTGTGAAAAACTGGGGGGGAAAAGAGCTTAAAATGCAGACAAAGCTTCAAATACAGAGCTTAAAATGCAGATAAAGCTTCAAATATAGAGCTTAAAATGCAGATAGAGCTTCAAATACAGAGCTCAAAATGCAGATAGAGCTTCAAATATAGAGTTTAAAATGCAGATAGAGCTTCAAATACAGAGCTCAAAACACAGACACAGTCTTTGCTCAGCCTGGGAGATGGCTCTAGAAAAACATCAATATTTGAACAGCCTGACAGCCTCCAACCCAGACTAAACCGTGACACCATCGGTTTGGGATCAAGCCGTCTGCAAGGGCAGGGATTTGCCCACTCCAGCAGTTATTGTCACATCGTGAAAAATGGGAAAAACGGTGGAATTTCAAAAACGGACGGAGGAAACCAGGCTGGATTTAGTCAGTAACTCTGCTGCTACACACAGGGACAATGTATCCCTGTTCTTCCTTTCCCTGGAACCGCTAAGGCTGGAACAGCTTCTAAAATCATCGATTCCAACCCACCGTGGTTAAACCGTGTCCCCAAGTGCCACATCCCGGTATTTTTTAACCATTGACAGGGACAGCGACTCCAGCACTGCCTGACCACCCTTCCGTGCAGAAATTTCCCCTTTTACCCAACTGGCACAACTCGAGGCCGTTCCCTCCCATCCTTCCGCTCGTAACGCGGGACAAGAGGCTCCCAAACCACCCCTGATTTTTATCTGGGGACAGAAACCCCCAAAGGAGCCCAAAGCAGGGCGGGGCCGTACCAGCACCCCCGCGGCCACCGAGGCGATGGTGTTGCGCTTCTCGCCCCAGTCCACGCACTCCGAGCAGCGCAGGCTCTCCAGGAATCCGGACATGGCTCCGCGACTGCGGGAGGAAACGGCGGCTCCGTCCGCGCAGGAACCGGGGCGCGGCACCCCCGAGCCCGGGGACCGCCCGAGCACCGGGCATCGCCACCGGCGGATCCCACCGGGGCACCCCCGATGCGCGCACCCCGGGGCGGTCACGGGGCGCGCACCGCGCATCTCCCGCACCCCAATCCCTCCATCCCTCCCGCATCCTCCGCACCCCGGTCACTGCACCCCGCGCATCCCCCGCACCCCAATCCCTGCATTCCGCGCACCTCAATCCCCGCGCCCCGCGCATTCCCGTCCCTGCACCCCGCGCATCCCCGCATGCCCCGCACCCCAATCCCTACACTCCGCTCATCCCCCGCACCCTAATCCCTGCACCCCGCGCATCCCCCGCACTCCAATCCCTGCACCCCGCGCACCCCGGTCCCCGCACGCCGCGCGCTCCCCGCGCATCCCCCGCACCGTGCGCGCCCCCGGCCCCGCGCGCTCCCCGCGCATCCCTCGCTCACCGTCACGGGACGCGGCGGCGGCGGCCGCGCGCAGGCGCAGCGCGCGCGCGCAGGGGCGGCGAGGGGCGGGGCCGCCGCTCGTGGGGCGGGGCGCGGGGCGGGGCCGGCGCGTGCGCCGCGAGCACGGTTGCGTAACGGGAGGGACGTTCTGGAAGGTTCTGGGGCCGCCTTCAGTCGCTGGCGGGCGGCGGCAACGGGCGGAGGCTGCTCCGGTTCTGTCGCTCCTCTGTTGCGCTTCTATCGCCGATCGCGGCTGGCGCAGCGGGCCCGGCGCTATGGGGGTGACTCACGAAGCGGGGCTCTCCCCTCAGGACCCGTGCGGGGGCAGCCCGGCGGGCTGGAGCCGGTGAGGCAGCGGGCCGGGGCACGGCCGGGGGCAGGAGGCGGGAGCGGCCGATCGCGGTGGCCGCTGCGGGGTGAGGGCTGTGGATCGCTCACGGGTGGATTTTTATGGGTTTTTATTCGTTTTATTCCAGGAGCGCGCAGGTGCCTCAGGGGAACCAGCGCGGGGCGTGCCCGGCAGCGCCCAGCGGTGAGTGCGGGACCGGGAGGGACCGGGAGGGCTCGAGGGGTCCGGACCGGGCGGGACACGGGACGGGACGGGGGGGTAGCGATGGCAGCCGGGGATTGCTCTTATTACCGTCCCGGCAGTGTGACCTTGGCCCTGGCCTAGAGGTGAAATAGTGAAACTTTACGTGGAGTAGTAGCGAGAGAAGTGCGTCTGACAGCTCTCCCGCAAGTTATATTTTAAATAGATTTCAGTGCGGGGGTTGGATTTGTTGCCTAACCTCGTTTTGCACCGAGCGCTAAATAGAAATTCCGTGTCAGAGCGAGCTTCCCTTAACTGTAAACTGGTTACGTAACTCCGGGCTTAAGTCTTGTGATAAGATCCTT